ACCATTAAATTCAGTGCAGTGCTATGATTTAAACACCATTCATTTCAGAGCAGTGCTATGATTTAAACACCATTAAATTTAGTGCAGTGCTATGATTTAAATGCCATTCATTTTAGTGCAGTAGTATGACTTAAACACCGTTCGTTTCAGTACAATGTTATGTTTTAAACACCATTCATTTCAGTGAACTGTTATGATTTAAACACCATTAAATTACGTGCAGTGTTATGATTTAAACACCATTCATTTTAGTGCAGTATTATGACTTAAGCACCATTCATTTCAGTGCAGTGTTATCATTTAAACACCATTCATTTCAGTGAAGTGTTATGATTTAAACATCATTAATTTAAGTGCAGTGTTATGATTTAAATGTCATTAATTTTAGAACAATGTTATGATGTAAACACCATTCATGTCGGTGCAGTGTTATGATTTAACACCATTAATTCAGTGCAGTGTTATGATTTAAACACCATTCATTTCAGTGCAGTGTTATGATTTAAACACCATTCATTTCAGTGCAGTGTTATAATATAAATATAGCTATTAACTGTTTTCACGGCTAGTTGGTGTAACTTTTCTTATTACGCTAAATTCAGTGTTTAACATCGCTTGTCATCACTAATTGATTAGCTTCAACTGTTATCACTAACGGGTTTAACATCGATGAGTTTAGCTTCATCTGCTATCACTTCCTGGTTTAGGTTCATCTGCTATAACTGATTGGTTTAGCTTCATCTGCTGTCACTAATAAAGTTCAATACTCTAAGGAGGTCGAGAGTCTATCTCTTAGGACCTCGGCCATGAAACGTGGCCTAGTAGTCCCTGTGGACTCCGGCCATGAAACATGCCCTAGTAGTCCCTGGGGACTCCGGCCATGAAACATGCCCTAGTAGTCCCTGTGGACTCCGGCCATGAAACGTGGCCTAGTAGTCCCTGGGGACTCCGGCCATGCAACACGGTCTCGAGTAAAATGGTGTTCAGGGCATTGCTTCCACTCACCAGGGGACAGCTTTGCGTCACCACCCCCGGTGCCCAGTGAGTCATGCGGTCTGGACGTTGGGTTGGAATGGTTTTGCTTCCTCTCCGGGGATGACGTTGCATTGCCACCCCCACCGCCCAGGGAGTCGTACGTTCCTTAGTGTGGCACGGCTTTACCTCCACTCCGGGAGTAGTCACAATCTTAACTTTCTCCCACCGTTCCTGGGAGTTGTGTGGACGTGGGTCTGAACGGCTTTGCTTCCTCTCCGGGGAGGTGTTGCGTTACCTCACCCCACCGTTCGGGGAATGGTTCGGACGGGACTGTGTCGGGACGAAAGAGTCGCCTAGGAGCGGCTTTCTCAGGGCCCCATGTTTTTAATCCTCAGCAAGTATTTTTTAAGAAACCCAAGCCTCATATCCATTATCGGCGACACGTAATCATGTTAGCGCGTCACTCCCGTTGCATTGGAAGTCATGCGTTTTGCTTTGGATCTTTTGGCTTCAGGAGTCACCTCCCTACTAATCTTCCACACCATGCAAAGGTAAGATCCGTGTGACACCACCGAGAGCATGGCGATGTGAATTTTCTCCTATTTGAGCGCTAGCTATCCTGAGGGAAAACTCGAAGCTTTGCTGTCACTGATTGATTTAGCTTCGTATGTTATCACGGATTGGTTTAGCTTCATCTGTTAGCACGGATTGGTTTAGCTTCATCTGCTTTCACTGATTGGTTTAGCCGCATTTCTTATCATTGGCTGAAATTGTGCCGTTCCATGACCATCAAACAATCAACTTGGTCAACATTTTTCGAATGGCCTGGCTAAAGTAAAACACTGGAGGTTCCACCGCTTCAGACATGTGATGTTAATCATTGATTAGTGTTGGATAAGCCAGACAGTTGTGGTGCCTAGTTGGGGAGATATAGATGATAAGACTTATTATAAAGTTGCATGTAAGTAGATGAATTTTACGTTTTTGAATTAAGGGAGGGTTGGGGGGAGGGGAAAGGGGAGGGTTGGGGCGAGGGTTGAGGCGAGGGTTGGGAGGGTTGGGGGAGGTTTGGGAGGGTTGGGGGAGGGTTTGGGCAAGGGTTGGGGCGAGGGTTGGGGCACGGGTTGGGGCACGGGTTGGGGCGAGGGTTAGGGCGAGAGTTGGGGCGAGGGTTTGGGGAAGGTTGGGGAGGTTTGGGGGTGTGTTGGGGAAGGGTCGGGGCGACGGTTGTGGGGAGGACTGGGGGCATGGTGTGGTGGGGGGGGGGTGGGGGGGGGGGGGGGGGGGGGGGGGGGGGGGGGGGTGGGGGGGGGGGTGGGGGGGGGAGTGGGGGGGGGGGTTGGGGGGGGGTGGGGGGGGTTGGGGGGTGTGTTGGGGAAGGGTCGGGGCGACGGTTGTGGGGAGGACTGGGGGCATGGTGTGGGGGTGAGGGTTAGTGAAATTAGTTTTTAACTGACGTCGTTTTCCACGTGTGACCACATGTAGGTGACGTCATACGAGTGAGTCTGATTTTCAAACCAATCAAAAAAGAAGAGTCGATGAGTGTATCTATTTGGAGTTAGCGAATATCAACATTGTACTTTATATTAGTTTTTGAAAATGACGTTAACATTGCAAAAAGAAAGACAAAAAAAAAATTAAAATAATATTGTGTCTTTCAATTTTAATTAGATATGTAAATAATATTTTGTGATATGATATATATTATGTGGTAAATCTGATATGATATGATGTGATATGATATAATATTTGATATGATTTATGAGATGATATATGAGATGATATATGATATGATATATGATATTATATATGATATGATGTATGATATGATGTATGATATGATGTATGATATGATGTATGATATGATGTATGATATGATGTATGATATGATGTATGATATGGTGTATGATATGATGTATGATATGATGAATGATATGAAGTATGATATGATATATGATATGATTTATGAGATGATATATGAGATGATATATGATATGATATATGATATTATATATGATATGATGTATGATATGATATATGATATGATGTATGATATGATGTATGATATGATGTATGATATGATGTATGATATGATGTATGATATGGTGTATGATATGATGTATGATATGATGAATGATATGAAGTATGATATGATGTATGATATGATGTATGATATGATGTATGATATGATGTATGATATGATGTATGATATGATGTATGATATGATGTATGATATGATGTATGATATGATGTATGATATGATGTATGATATGATATATGATATGATATATGATATGATATATGATATGATATATGATATGATATATGATATGATATATGATATGATATATGATATGATATATGATATGATATATGATATGATATATGATATGATATATGATATGATATATGATATGATATATGATATGATATATGATATGATATATGATATGATATATGATATGATATATGATATGATATATGATATGATATATGATATGATATATGATATGATATATGATATGATATATGATATGATATATGATATGATATATGATATGATATATGATATGATATATGATATGATATATGATATGATATATGATATGATATATGATATGATATATGATATGATATATGATATGATATATGATATGATATATGATATGATATATGATATGATATATGATATGATATATGATATGATATATGATATGATATATGATATGATATATGATATGATATATGATATGATATATGATATGATATATGATATGATATATGATATGATATATGATATGATATATGATATGATATATGATATGATATATGATATGATATATGATATGATATATGATATGATATATGATATGATATATGATATGATATATGATATGATATATGATATGATATATGATATGATATATGATATGATATATGATATGATATATGATATGATATATGATATGATATATGATATGATATATGATATGATATATGATATGATATATGATATGATATATGATATGATATATGATATGATATATGATATGATATATGATATGATATATGATATGATATATGATATGATATATGATATGATATATGATATGATATATGATATGATATATGATATGATATATGATATGATATATGATATGATATATGATATGATATATGATATGATATATGATATGATATATGATATGATATATGATATGATATATGATATGATATATGATATATGATATGATATATGATATGATATATGTTATGATATATGATATGACATATGATATGATATATGATATGTTATATGATATGATATATGATATGAATTTGATATGACTTTGATATTATATGATTTAATATGACTTTAAAATGATATGATATTACTTTGATATGATATGATATTTATTCCCGTATACATCATCATCACATTGCAACAGTCGCCTTGGCGAGTGCCGTTCGAGGGCATGGGGAAAGCTATGCATTATTTCCATAGCTCGAACTCTCTCAATGCAGATATGTATTATATGTAGAGAGGTACTATGGGAAATTACTAAAGAAGAAAACTTCATACATTTGTTGTAGCTGTAAGCTCATTACTGCGCTGTAATCAGGAAATTTCATCGTTTGTTTGAATGTCCTGTTTCTTCCTGTCAATCATTCAAATGAAGTTTTAACATGGACTATCATGAAGTGTTTGCACGAAATATGTGCCATGAAATGTTAGCATGAAAAGTTCACATTACATGTTCACGTAAAGTGTTCTTCCATTTCCAGGCCTTTGTCAGTTGCTTCAATTTTAACCTTCCTGAATATGTTTCACCACCCTCAGCAACATGATGCCAGCCTTCCAGTTGGCAATCCTGGCCGTTCTCTGTAAAACCGGATGTGTTTTCAGCATGGGCGCAGACCAGAATGACAGCTTTTCTTTCCTGGCGTATGAGAAACTTCACCAAAACATCTCGACAAGGCCAGCTGTTGTCAATAAGATACCACCCGCTGTGGAAAAAACTGACAACGCAACCAATATCTACGCCCTTGACTTATTACTGCTACCAATCGATATTCTGTCGATCGATGAGATCTATCAGGTAGTTTGACCATGGTTCCTGAAGTTTAAAGCCTTAACGGGACCAATCACTGGGAAAACCCAATACTCAGAATTAGAATGCCACTGTGAGATTAGCAGTTTCAGAAGGTCCTAACAAAACATGAGAACAGATCTTTTACTATTTTAAAGAAATATATCAAGAATTTCTTAATTTATAATTCTTTAAATAGGCTTTATTAGTTTATCATTAGTTGATTTAAAAGGTAACAAAGCATATTTTCTTTGCTCGCATTAAAGAAAAAAAAAATTAATCTTAAACAGTGGTTCTCAAACATCCTAATGCCGCGACCCTTTAACGCAGTTCCTCATATCGTGGTCACCACCAACCATAAAATTATGTTCGTTGCTTCTTCATAATTATATGTTGTTCCGATGGTCTTAGGCGACCCCTGTGTAAGGGCCGTTCAACCCCCAAAGAGGTCGCGACCCACAGGTTGATAACCGCTGATCTAAAATATAAGTGTTGTTAATGTACATATTTTAACAGGCAGTTTTTTTGTGTTTGTTTTTTTTCAGAAAGTGACCATCATAGCTTACTTATCTGTTTTGTGGCAACATCCGGGGCTTTCGTGGGAGCCAGCAGATTACGACGGGATACAAGCAGTCCACGTAGACGCCGAGTCGCTCTGGAAGCCGCAAATCGTCATCACCGTCAGCGCGTCCGAAAGTTTAACCCTGACCTTTCCAGGAGAATTACGCATTTCCTCTTCCGGGCAGGTCGCGTCGTCCAAATACTATCAGTTATCTTTTAGGTGCGAGATCGACTTTTACAAATACCCGTTCGACACCCAAACGTGCTTCTTGGGATTTTACCCGTGGCAAGAGAAACAGCTGGCTTACATGGAATCGATCCCAGCACCACAGATTCCCAAAAAGCTGTACGCCATTAACGGGGAGTGGAGACTGCTGAACATGACGGTGGAGATGGTTGAAGATCAAAATCTGGTGTTTATTTCTAAATTTCCACGTTACAGCTTCACGATGCAGCGCGAGTCCACCTACTACGTCGTCACAATCATTTTCCCTATGGTTCTGACGTCAGCTATGATACCTCTCGTGTTCCTCATACCGCCGAGAACAGGTGAGAAGATATCCTACCTGGTGGCCATTTTCACGTCGACGGCAATTTTCCTCAACTTCATTTGGTAAGTTGAGTATTAAGGCTTAGGTGTACGTAAACATATCAGGCTTTCGTGGAATTATTTTATACGCAGAGCAGTATTACAGATGGATTGACTTTACTCGTTTTAAATAACCAATCACTTCTATTCCAGTGACGTCATGCCACGCGGTTTGTCTGGAGTTCCAGTTCTCGCAATCTTGTTGGTCGAGGTCATGGCGGAAGGTTTCATGGCGACCCTGGCAGCTCTGGTGGTTGTCTCCAGATTTGAACAAGAGCAGGTCGTGAGCTCACTCCCTTATTTTTATCAAGTATAAAATACCATTACGATTTTTATTTTTTAACAGTTATTTACAATACAACTTTTATTCTTAAAAGTTTTCTTTTCCGTCAATGCCCTATATAAATCGTGAACTGTGGCTGATAAGCTGGATATATTTGTAAGAAGCTCAGCTCCAAAAGGACTTCATGTTTATATGATTTATGACACCCTTAACTCATTATTTCAATAATCATTTATCTCCAATCAAATTTATTGCATTATTTTCTTATGTCATTGGCAGTGATCTTATATAGCACTGTACCCCAGCCTAGGGTTAGATTCACCGCACTTCACATAAAAATTAGCAAAACGACAATAAAAAAGAAACAAGACATTAAAAAACAGTTACATACAATTATTTATTTCAAACACCAGTGTAAAAATATTGACCTCGCACACCCAAATACTATTGACCCCTGCCTAGCCATGGACGGCACCCACCCAAGTACTATTGACCCCTGCCTAGCCATGGACGGCACCCAGCCAAGTACTATTGACCCCTGCCTAGCCATGGACGGCACCCACCCAAGTACGATTTACCCCTGCCTAGCCATGGACGGCTCCCACCCAAGTACTATTTACCCCTGCCTAGCCATGGACGGCACCCACCCAAGTACTATTGACCCCTGCCTAGCCATGGGCGGCACCCAGCAGCATCGAGCATTATTTATCGGGGGGGGGGGGTTGGGAATGACTCAGAATGGTACAAATGAATCAATAACAAAATATAAAATTCACCCAAGTACTATTGACCCCTGCCTAGCCAGGGGCGGCACCCAGCAGCATCGAGCATTATTTATCGGGGGGGGGGGGTTGAGAATGACTCAGAATAGTACAAATGTATCAATAACAAAATATAAAATTCTATTAGCATAAATAACAAAATATAAAATTCTATTTGCATAAATACCAAAATATAAAACAAAATGGCATACATACCAAAGTATTAAAATAAAAACTAAACATTTACAGACATGCATCAATCTTTCAATCTTTCTTTTATTTTTTTCTTACTAACAAAATGACGGAACACAATAAATTGTTCAATAAAAATGTATCTAGTGTAATCTCCGTTGCGTCTGTTTGGACACTAAAATCACCAGTTGATTTTTCTTTGTCATGGAATAAAATGAATGAGTTTGTTGAATGCATTCCTTTATGTGCTTCCATACTTTAAATTTTTTAATTTTGTAATTAAAAATGTTTTATGCAATTTCAGAATCAGAAAAATCTTAAAACAAAAGACTCTGACGTTAGAAACATGATCAAGATGACGTCGTCTGTCAGCCCTGCTCCGACTCCGAGTGATGAGAAAATTGTAGAAAAGCCCGCCGACAACTGCTTGGTTCGATTCAGGTCGACCAAAGAACTCTCCTCAAAGACTCTGGACAATTTTTTCTTATTTTTCTTCGTAATTGTTCAAGGCGTTCTCCTTTTAATTATTTTCCTGCTGTTTTAGCAAGATTTGGCTGTCATTACACGGCTGGCCAAAATGATCGTTATTATAAAACAGCTTACTGTTATACGGCTCTGGTTTGGCTCACAGAAATTTCGAATCAGGCTCTTGATGTGTGATGCTCCTATTGTTTTTCATTTATAAAAAAAACAAACTGCAATCCTCAATTAATATATTTTTGATCCTATTTTTATTTCATGGGCGCAAAGAACTTTTACACCTAAAATTGTGTCTCTAAAGTTTGAAGTTGGAAAGCCTCAAATGAAACGTCCACAATGTGTCTACTGGGGGGGGGGGGGCAACGTTTTATTGAACTTCTCTATTATTTGGTTTTTGTTTGTNGGTTGGGGGGGTGGGTCGTTGCTAGTACCTCCATTTCAATGTATTAAAAGACTTCCTGAGATTAGGATGTACATCAAAATTCAATTACTGGGCGTTGCGTTAACCAGGGAGAGACATGTTAAGACGAAGACGTGGTATAGACAACGTATAGACGAGGTCTGGAACAGGGTTTCTTTCAGGTATATCTCCGGGGGGCACTGCCCCCCTCCCCGGTTAAAGAAAAGTGTTCCCCGGAGCAAAAATATGTCCAACAATAAATAAACTGGAACTGCTGGCACTGCCCCCCTCCCCCCGGGTGGAAAACTTCTGAAATAACCACTGGTCTGGGCGAAGCTTGGACAAAGTATAGACAAGGTATGAAGAAATTAAGATATTGACAAGGTATAAACGGCGTTCAGACAGGGTATGAACAAGACAATATGATACCAAAAATAACAAACAGTTTAAAAAAAACCCACAAAGTTTTCCTTTTAACTCCTTTATTTTCTTTCCTGTAATTTTACGTCGTTTATCATTTCTTAAGAAGCGGTTCTGTAAATGGGTCAACTTCTTAAGGAAGGAAACGTTCATTTTTCTTTCATTTTCCACTTTAAAAATACATTTTATTTTTACTGCATACCCAGCTGCGTCACAACTAAAAGCGAATGGGAATGAACGATTATATTGGTCGTGAGTGGGTTCATGAACGATTCTATTGGTCGTGATGTGGGTTCATGAACAACTCTATTGGTCATGAGTGGGTTCATGAACGATTCTATTGGTCGTGAGTGGGTTCATGAACAACTCTATTGGTCATGAGTGGGTTCATCAACGATTCTATTGGTCGTGAGTGGGTTCATGAACAACTATATTGGTCATAAGTGGGTTCATGAACGATTCATGAACAACTCTATTGGTCATGAGTGGGTTCATGAACGATTCTATTGGTCGTGAGTAGGTTCATGAACAACTCTATTGGTCATAAGTGGGTTCATGAACGATTCTATTGGTCGTGATGTGGGTTCATGAACAACTCTATTGGTCATGAGTGGGTTCATGAACGATTATATTGGTCGTGAGTGGGTTCATGAACAACTCTATTGGTCATGAGTGGGTTCATGAACGATTCTATTGGTTGTGATGTGGGCTCATGAACAACTCTATTGGTCATGAGTGGGTTCATGAACGATTCTATTGGTTGTGATGTGGGTTCATGAACAACTCTATTGGTCATAAGTGGGTTCATGAACGATTCTATTGGTCGTGATGTGGGTTCATGAACAACTCTATTGGTCATGAGTGGGTTCATGAACGATTCTATTGGTCGTGATGAGGGTTCATGAACAACTCTAGTGGTCATGAGTGGGTTCATGAACGATTCTATTGGTCGTGAGTGGGTTCATGAACAACTCTATTGGTCATGAGTGGGTTCATGAACGATTCTATTGGTCGTGATGTGGGTTTATGAACGATCTTATTGGTCGTGAGTGGGTTCATGAATGATTCTATTGGTCGTGAGTTGGTTCATGAACGATCTTATTGGACGTAAGTGGGTTCATGAACGATCTCATTGGACGTAAGTGAGTTCATGAACGTCACTATTGGTCGTAAGTGGGTTCATGGATGATTCTGTTGGTCGTGATTTATCTTACTCTCTTGAATAAATAAGTTAAAATATTTATTTTAAAATGACGCCTTTGATGTTATCTTCATTAATCAATACCGATCACATTTTCCTTTTAACCATATGAATAAACTGTAATCTGCCTAATGCGTTATTCTTTGTCAACACTGCCACCGCCATGTCAGTTTAAAACGTTGTTTAGATAATCATCACGATGTCATTTCTGTTTGCCTTCACCCTTTGAGTGATGTTATTCACACTTACATCTCTAGTGCACACGCATTATTCTCCCAAACCTGGCAAACATCGCGTTCACTGGGTTTAACGTACGTGGATGGCATAAACATTCTAGCGCGTGCGAAGTATAAAAAAACAGTCTTTGCATTGTTCTCTCCCCTCTATGGGGAATAGTTGTTGGTACATGGTTCTGCTTGCCTGGCATCCATCACAGTCTGATATTTAAACATGTTCTTTTTTTAATGTATTTTTTTTTTATTAAACCGTTTCATGAACTTAAATTAGTACGACTATATATTAATACACCTTACGTATCAATGACAGTGTAATCTGATGTCACAATCTAATGTGGTAATCTATTGTGACAAATTAATGCGGGAATCTAATGGGACAAGCTAATTTGGTAGGCTATTGTGACAAATGAATGCGGGAATCTAATGTGACAATCTAATGTGACAATCTAATGTGTCAATCTAATGTGGCAATCTAATGTGACAATCTAATGGGACAATCTAATGTGGCAATCTAATGTGGCAATCTAATTTGGCAATCTAATGTGACAATCTAATGTGGCAATCTAATGTGACAATCTAATTTGTTAATCTAATATGACAATCTAATATGGCAATCTAATTTGACAATCTAATGTGAAAATCTAATGAGGAAATCTTAAGTGACAATCTAATCTGGCAATCAAATGTGAAAATCTAATTTGGCAATCTAAAGAAGAAATCCAACGTGCTGCTATTTATGGTGGGCTAGTATCTTGGCCAATCGGTTTCTACCATAATGTTTCCAACATATTATTTCTTACCTGGTGCTTCTACCATATTATTTCTAACATACTATTCCGACTATATTATTTCTACCATATTATTTTTTAACACATTGTCTCTCACGTATTATTTCTAACATATTATTCCTACCATATTATTTCTACCATATTTTTTCTACCATATTATTTCTAAAACATTTTTTCTAACATATTACTGACACCCTAGTGTTTCTACCAGTAACCGACGATCTGCACAATAAAGTTCAATTATTAATATTTAGTGCAAGCCGCTGTCCCCGATACATTTTCATTGAACATTACTGCTGGGCGTTCGTTGTGATCAAATTTAAAATGTCACCAATTCATCTAGTCGTGTTACTGCTCACGTCTGTTAGTTTGTGCCTGGGGGAGGACGGCGCTGACAACGCCTTGCACCTGGCGTACAAACGTCTCCACGACAACATTCTGGGAAGGGACGTAGTGGTCAACAAGATACCTGTCGTGGTGGATGTCAATAGGACGGTGGCAGGTGTTGAGCCCATGACCCTGCTGATGGTACCTTTTCACATTTTGGGAATTGATGAAGTCAGACAGGTAAACATGTATTTTTCCCACGAATAAACAATAGCACAGAAAAGAACAGAATAGCACATAATAGAACAGAATAGCACAGAATAGAACAGTATAGAACAGAATAGAACAGAATAGAACATAATAGCACAAAATAGAACAGAATAGCACAGAATAGCACAGAAAAGAACAGAATAGCACATAATAGAACAGAATAGCACAGAATAGAACAGAATAGAACAGAATAGCACAGAATAGAACATAATAGCACATAATAGAACAGAATAGCACAGACTAGAACAGAATAGAACAGAATAGCACATAATAACACAGACTAGAACATAATAGCACAGAATAGAACGGAATAAAAACAGAATAGCACAGAAAAGAACACAATAGCCCAAAATAGCACAGAATAGCTTAAGGTGGCACAGTATAGCACAGAAAAGCAGACACTAGCCCAGAATAGCACATGGTAGCTTTAACCCAAATGCTAAATGTGTGGGGAAAAAATATATTTATTTGCCAAGTGTGCCAATAATTGTTTTAAATTGTTATTTGAATATCTCCAGAAAAAATATTTAAACATTTAGGTTGACATTGTGAAGAGAGTTACTCTTTAAAATGACAATAACTGATGCCAATAGTTGAGAAATTCTACGGGAGCTAACTCGGTGACACAACTTCTAGATGCGTGTCATTTTAAAATGTACAGAGAGCGAAACCAAATCCACCAATCAGCGCTGTTTTCAATTGTTGTTGCTATCGATGGTATTTGCTTTCCTTGTTTAGGGCATTACATTAAAAATAAATATATTTGAAATCATTTAGCATTGCATTTTTAAGTGTCTTTAAAAGGTATAAATTTAAAGAACGTTATAAAGTAAGAAATATCAACAAAAAATAAATGAACATTTCAAAATTTACTTACATCCTTTTGAAAAGATTATTCAACTGAAAAGTTTTAAATTAAAGAACAAACTGATGTGTTTGTATTCATTTTTTCTACAAGGTCATGCATGCCATTGTCTTCATCGAAGTATCATGGACGCATAGACAACTTGCCTGGAGTCCAGCAGACTACGAAGGAATCGAATCCATTTTGGTTGATACCTGCTCTATGTGGACGCCGAGTATCCTCATATATCTCGGTGTGGGAGAGAGTATCGAGCTTAAATTTGCGGACACCCTCAGAGTCACATACCAGGGTGCAGTGTCGTCAGATAAGAACTACCACTTGTCTTTTAGCTGTGTAATCGACTTTGACAAATATCCCTTCGACACCCAGCTCTGCCCTCTGGGATTTTACCCGTCTGCGAGGCCAACCGCTCGGCTCGAGTTATTACAAACCTCATACTCTATTTATAATAGCATTAATTTCAGTGGCGAGTGGAACCTTAAGAAACTACACCACAGTGAAATCGCAGTCGCAAACCTACTTCTCCCCTTGGCGAAATACCCGAACTATCTTTTTGAATTGGAGCGGAAATCTGCTTACTACGTCATCACCATCATATTCCCCATGGTGCTGACGTCAGCGATGATTCCCCTGGTGTTTGTCATACCGACGAAGACAGGGGAGAAAATTTCCTACCTGGTGGCCATCTTCACGTCAACGGCCATCTTCCTGAACTACATATGGTGAGCTTAACTTTTATAAAACGCTACTCTTTAAGGTAATCAAAAACGTTATATTTAAAGCTGGAGAATCATTCATTCAATATATTTATGATATTTGCCTACACATTAAAAAAATTTCAACTTTGAACGAATATATACATTTTGAATGTTTTTTTTATTTTATTTTATTTTTAAATTATTTTTTAAATAATTAACAGCATTCAAATATTTAATTAATAGCAAGCATTATTCCATATACATGAGGTATCTTCTTTTTTTGGTTTGCCATTGCATACAGTGTCCTCATTTTAAAACGCCCTTTTCAAAGTTTTGCATAGATGTATTTTATGAGAAATTTGAAGAGAGTATTTTAATCGTATAGATAGATGATGGTGCGGGAAGGTTTGGTAAAGTCATGTTAAAATGATGATTACAGTGGCGTACCCCATGTGAAGCTTTGCGTTGGTGTCTTGGTGCTGTCATTGTCCAGAGGTGTGTTTATTCACACCTTCACCAATGCACATGATATATTAACACTTCCAACAGTGCACAATGGTATTTTAACACGTTCACGTGTGCACAATGATACATTCACACCTTCACCAATGCACAATGATATATTCACATCTTCACAAGTGCACAATGATACATTCATATCTTCACTAGTGCACAATAATATATTAAAACGTGCCATATTCATTCTTGATGAATATTGACAAACGTTTAATGAATTCTACATCACACTTATCTAGCACAGGTTCTCCCATTAGTAATATGAGTTCTGCTGACAAGCTTAGACAAAGAACTAAACACAGTAAAGGGATCACTAGGAACACTTCTAAAACGAATGATTCTACTTTCAGCGTTCCTACTGTTTAGCTCTCATCCTGCACTAATTTCCCTTAGGACCTCCTTCTCTACATCGTATTCATACGCTTATGGTCTCATTTGAGGCCCCCTAACTCTCTGTTCTCTTTCGGACACACCAACTCTCTGTTCTCATTCAGACACACCAATTCTCTGTTCTTATTCAGACACACCAACTCTCTGTTCTCATTCAGACACACCAACTCTCTGTTCTCATTCAGACACACCAATTCTCTGTTCTCATTCAGACACACCAATTCTCTGTTCTCATTCAGACGCACCTAATATATGCTCTTATTCAGACACACCAAGTCTCTGTTCTTATTCAGACACACCAACTCTCTGTTCTCATTCAGACACACTAACTCTCTGTTCTCATTCAGACACACCAACTCTCTGTTCTCATAACAAATGGCGATCCCCAACAACAAGGACTCTCAGGGACTCTAACACTGTGACAGCCCGCAACATCATAAGTCTGATAAATTGAAGTGCTTAATGACGGAAGTTATTGTTTCGTATAACTTGAAAACCGCTGAGCCAGTTGAGGAAAACGTCCATTCTCTGATCTTTTGATTCATTTTCTTTCAGTGACGTCATGCCCCGGAGTCTGCTGAGTGTACCTTACCTTGCTGTGCTGCTGCTTGAGGTCATGGTAGAAGGATTCCTGGCCACCCTGGCCTCGTTATGGGTCGTCAAAAAGTTTGAATCTGAGGAAAATGTGAGTGGTCGGGTAAACATTGAAAGTATAGCGAATGGGGGTGGGGACTGGACTGAGATATAGCTGAAGTAGCTTTATAACAATTTGTTTCTTTTTTCAGGCAACCCGATTTCTGTCCTACTTCCCGATGAAAAGGATCGCTAATTATTGTGACGATAGATTATTATTATTATTATTAAGATAGATTTATATAAGGTTAGGCTGACTGCGCTTCACATAAAAACTAGCAATTATACATTTAAAAACAATTGGTACCGAGCTTGACCGCAACCACCCAAGTACTGCCTACCGCTGACTAGCCATGGACCAGCAACAAGCAGCATCGAGGGTTCTTTATCAAGGAGAAGGGGTGAGAATGAGTCGGTATAGTACAGTTTGAAGAGATGGGTCTTGAGGGCAGTTTTTAAGATACACTGCCTAGTGGCGCGGCTACTATTAGTGAACCCATGGTCGGCCAAATATTTTTGCCGCTCTCCTTTTCACGATACAGACTGTGCAGTTGTACGAAAGATTCCGTACCTCCGTATAACGGAGAAGTGAGGCCTGGATGAACAACCTCATCCTCCCCTTTTATGCGACACTGGCATGGCAGGGGCGTAGTTAGAATGTTTGGTGTCAGGGGCATGATTAATTTTTACGCCCCCCCCCTCAACTCTGAAACTTATTATTTTCAACCCTTAAATACCACCAAATCACATGTTTGGTGCCCACGGCTAGTCTGGCGCCCCGGGACGAATCCTGTCTACCACACCTTAGCTACGCATCTTGTCACTGCCCCCTGGCAACTGGCACATCACCCCCCCCCTTGCCTTGAAAATCGGAAATGCGGGCGGTGGGGGGGTGGTGGTTTAAAGTAAATGTCTGAAAGTAACACTGTTATCAAAACGCAGTGTTGCTCTAAGTCTCCACTCAATAAAACACAATGTCGTTCTAAGTCTCCACTCACTAACACACAATGTCGTTCTAAATCTCCACTCAATAACACACAATGTGGTTCTAAGTCTCAACTCAATAACACACAATGTGGTTCTAAGTCTCCACTCACTAACACACAATGTCGTTCTAAATCTCCACTCACTAACACACAATGTGGTTCTAAGTCTCCACTCAATAAAACACAATGTCGTTCTAAGCCTCCACTCACTAACACACAATGTCGTTCTAAATCTCCACTCACTAACACACAATGTGGTTCTAAGTCTCCACTCAATAAAGCACAATGTCGTTCTAAGTCTCCACTCACTAACACACAATGTGGTTCTAAGTCTCCACTCAATAAAACACAATGTGGTTTTAAGTCTCCACTCACTAACACACAATGTCGTTCTAAATCTCCACTCAATAAAACACAATGTCGTTCTAAATCTCCACTCAATAAAAAACAATGTCGTTCTAAGTCTCCACTCAATAACACACAATGTCTTTCTAAATCTCCACTCACTAACACACAATATCGTTCTAAATCTCCAATCAATAAAACACAATGTCGTTCTAAATCTCCACTCAATAAAACACAATGTCGTTCTAAGTCTCCACTCAATAACACACAATGTCGTTCTAAATCTCCACTCACTAACACACAATGTGGTTCTAAGTCTCCACTCAATAACACACAATGTCGTTCTAAATCTCCACTCAATAACACACAATGTGGTTCTAAGTCTCCACTCAATAACACACAATGTCGTTCTAAATCTCCACTCAATAAAACACAATGTCGTTCTAAGTCTCCACTCAATAACACACAATGTCGTTCTAAATCTCCACTCACTAACACACAATGTCGTTCTAAATCTCCAATCAATAAAACACAATTTCGTTCTAAAATCTCAACTCAATAAAACACAATGTCGTTCTAAGTCTCCACTCAATAACACACAATGTCGTTCTAAATCTCCACTCACTAACACACAACGTGGTTCTAAGTCGCCACTCAATAACACACAATGTCGTTCTAAATCTCCACTCATTAACACACAATGTGGTTCTAAGTCTCTACTCAATAACACACAATGTCGTTCTAAATCTCCACTCACTAACACACAATGTCGTTCTAAGTCTCCACTCAATAACACACAATGTCGTTCTAAATCTCCACTCACTAACACACAATGTCGTTCTAAATCTCCACTCACTAACACACAATGTGGTTCTAAGTCTCCACTCAATAACACGCAATGTGGTTCTAAGTCTCCACTCAATAAAACACAATGTCGTTCTAAGTCTCCACTCAATAACACACAATGTCGTTCTAAATCTCCACTCACTAACACACATTGTGGTTCTAAGTCTCCACTCAATAACACACAATGTCGTTCTAAATCTCCACTCAATAACACACAATGTGGTTCTAAGTCTCCACTCAATAACACACAATGTCGTTCTAAATCTCCATTCACTAACACACAATGTGGTTCTAAGTCTCCACTCAATAAAACACAATGTCGTTCTAAGTATCCACTCAATAACACATAATGTCGTTCTAAATCTCCACTCACTAACACACAATGTCGTTCTAAGTCTCCACTCAATAACACACAATGTCGTTCTAAATCACCACTCAATAACACACAATGTGGTTCTAAGTCTCCACTCACTAACACTGTCATACGTATGATGTACGAGCGTCAAATATTTTATTTTATTTTTTTTCCTATTTCAGAAAAAACGAGTCTTCAAAAGAAGCCCAATGAAGACCCCAGTTAAGGTCAAAAGCTGCTCAGTCGCACCAGTGGAAGAAACTGGGGAACAGACTGCAGCAATCTCAACGCACGATGGCAGTAGGCACTGTCACATCTCAACACTCACATCCGAGAGGCTGGACCACATATTCCTCGTTTGTTTTACGAGCGGGCAGACCATGTTTCTGCTGGCCCTGTTTGTCATGACGGACTGGGTGCTATAGAACTGTGCCGCGCTGTCAGGCTGTAGCCATTTCACAACACGACTGAACATCAGTTTGGATGGGTAGCAGTAACTACAAGCTGAGCATTTCTGTTATAAAAAACATGTGTGTGAATTTTAATGTTCAGAGTCCGGACATGGCAAGCTAAATGGACCACACACAGAATTTACTTCTTTAATAAGATATTAATGTGTGCGTCCAACGGATAAGTGTTCATGTTAATATGTGCTTAACACTGATACGTTTTACACTGATACATTTTACTCTGATACGTTTTACACTGATACGTTTTACACTGATAAGTTTTACACTGATAAGTGTTAATGTTACAAAATAATTATACTTTTCTCAACAATTTAAAGATTACAATTTTTATATTAAAAATAGAAAAGAAAAAATGTTTTTGAAAATTGTAAACAAAATTCTTTCTAACAAAGACGAGTTAAAACGCTCTTAAAAGTAGAAGATAATTTAAAATTTCTTAAAATGCATTAAGGAAAGAAGGAATGTGCAGAAGTGTGGATGAGCACTCTATGTAGACAAAGAAGGAATGTGCAGAAGTGTGGATGAGCACTCTATGTAGACAAAGAATGAACGTGCAGAAGTATAGACGAGCACTCTATGTAGACAAAGAATGAATGTGCAGAAGTATAGACGAGCACTCTATGCAGACAAAGAATGAATGTGCAGAAGTATAGACGAGCACTCTATGTAGACAAAGAATGAATGTGCAGAAGTATAGACGAGCACTCTATGTAGACAAAGAATGAATGTGCAGAAGTATAGACGAGCACTCTATGTAGCACTCTAAGTAGACACAGGATTCGTACTGAATGTAGACGAAACTTTAAATATGTTTTAGTTTTTTATTAATTGTACATAATATTTTCCGCACACACTTTCGTTTACCCCCTATCATTAGAGCGCTCACTTTAACAGTAACCGTAATGATTTTGTTCTGTTGTTATTTCGTTCTGTTAATTATCAACTGTTTTAAGTCATGTCATATGAAATGCGTTTTTATTTGAAGTGTACGAATTCAGTTATCCACAAATGTAATGATAAACGCACAGGAAACCTAAAATCTGTCTTCAATTTCCCATTATAAAAAAAAAAAAAAACACACTATTTCCATTGTCACCTTAGCCTTTTTCAATGATGTTTTTATGGATTTAACAACTTAGTTCAGTGCTCTTTTCTGTTACTATAGATATATCTAGATAATTTACTGGTCACTGGTTTGATTTCGCGTGTTCTTAAAAATTCGGCGCCAAGTCGGACTGGAATCCTTAAAAAAAAAAGATGGATCGGTCATTGTTTACTCACCATGTCCACTAATGACCTTTAGTGGTTGGCGACCTGACGCCTGTGCAATGTTGATCACCCCATTTGATTTGTTGAGTAGTAGACTTGAAGGAGTTGATCATCCCATTGATTTGTTGAGTAGTAGACTTGAAGGAGTTGATCATCCCATTGATTTGTAGAGTAGTAGACTTGAAAGAATCATCCCATTGATTTGTTGAGTAGTAGACTTGAAGGAGTTGATCATCCCATTGATTTGTTAAGCAGTAGACTTGAAGGAGTTGATCATCCCATTGATTTGTTAAGTAGTAGACTTGAAGGAGTTGATCATCCCATTGATTTGTTAAGCAGTAGACTTGAAGGAGTTGATCATCCCATTGATTTGTTAAGTAGTAGACTTGAAGGAGTTGATCATCCCATTGATTTGTTGAGTAGTAGACTTGAAGGAGTTGATCATCCCATTGATTTGTAGAGTAGTAGACTTGAAAGAATCATCCCATTGATTTGTTGAGTAGTAGACTTGAAGGAGTTGATCATCCCATTATTTTTTGAGTAGTAGATTTGAAGGAGTTGATCATCCCATTTATTTATTGAGTAGTAGACTTGAAGGAGTTGATCATCCCATTGATTTTTTGAGTAGTAGACTTGAAAGAGTTGATCATCCCATTGATTTGTTAAGTAGTAGACTTGAAAGAGTTGATCATCCCATTGATTTGTTAAGTAGTAGACTTGAAGGAGTTGATCATCCCATTGATTTGTTAAGTAGTAGACTTGAAGGAGTTGATCATCCCATTGATTTGTTAAGTAGTAGACTTGAAGGAGTTGATCATCCCATTGATTTGTTAAGTAGTAGACTTGAAGGAGTTGATCATCCCATTGATTTGTTAAGTAGTAGACTTGAAAGAGTTGATCATCCCATTGCTTTGTTAAGTAGTAGACTTGAAGGAGTTGATCATCCCATTAATTTGTTAAGTAGTAGACTTGAAGGAGTTGATCATCCCATTGATTTGTTAAGTAGTAGACTTGAAGGAGTTGATCATCCCATTGATTTGTTAAGTAGTAGACTTGAAGGAGTTGATCATCCCATTGATTTGTTAAGTAGTAGACTTGAAGGAGTTGATCATCCCATTGATTTGTTGAGTAGTAGACTTGAAGGAGTTGATCATCCCATTGATTTGTTAAGTAGTAGACTTGAAGGAGTTGATCATCCCATTGATTTGTTAAGTAGTAGACTTGAAGGAGTTGATCATCCCATTGATTTGTTAAGCAGTAGACTTGAAGGAGTTGATCATCCCATTGATTTGTTAAGTAGTAGACTTGAAGGAGTTGATCATCCCATTGATTTGTTGAGTAGTAGACTTGAAGGAGTTGATCATCCCATTGATTTGTTGAGTAGTAGACTTAAAGGAGTTGATCATCCCATTGATTTGTTAATTAGTAGACTTGAAGGACACGGAAACTCACAAGTGCGCTAATAGCAGCCAGTGGTTTTGTGAAATACTGGCAATATGGTACAATTATCAAGAAGACATCGTGCGCAACCTGGCCAGAGCCCACTTTAGGCTTGATGGGTCCCGGAAACGGTGCTAATGCGCCTCCCAAATTTAAGATCCATCGGTTTAGTTCCGACTTTCAATGGCCTGCAGATAATTGTGAAGAGGGATTCATCGCTTTGGATCATGAAATAGGTTTGGACCGAATGTACCCTGGCCCGTGTAAAAAAAAAACTTATCATGGTTTCATGGTCAAAACCCGAGATGGTATCATGGTCAAAACCCGTGATGGTTTCATGGTCAAAACCCGAGATGGTATCATGGTCAAAACCCGTGATGGTTTCATGGTCAAAAACCGTGATGGTTTCATGGTCAAAACCCGAGATGGTATCATGGTCAAAACCCGTGATGGTTTCATGGTCAAAAACCGTGATGGTTTCATGGTCAAAACCCGAGATGGTATCATGGTCAAAACCCGTGATGGTATCATGGTCAAAACCCGAGATGGTATCATGGTCAAAACCCGTGATGGTTTCATGGTCAAAAACCCGAGATGGTATCATGGTCAAAACCCGTGATGGATTCATGGTCAAAAACCGTGATGGTTTCATGGTCAAAACCCATGATGGTTTCATTTCGGAAACTGTTTTCAAGTTAGCAATCCCGTAAACATTTTGTAAAAGGCCCTGTTATTGTTTAAATATGGTTGGAGGTGGAGGGAAGGGGGATATCTATAAATCAGTATATCTGGGCAAATTAACAGATTAATGGGTATTGAGGCCAATGTTTACATTATAACTCCTGGGTAGTTTGCTTTCACTGCATTCAATGACCCAAACACCAAAAATAAGACAGCCCTTTGCCTTAGGAGACCACCGTGTTTTCACGACCTCCAACGGTACATTGATTCGCCTGTAAACTTTTTTAATGCGTAACGAATCCCATTATTTTGAGAGTTGAGTGTTCCCAGTGTAGACCGATCCACAACAAACTGAGTTTGAATTCAAGCTTCTTTTTTTTTTCCATTAGCGTTGACGCTCTACGAATCAATTTTCATTAGGATTGTTTTAACATCATTGAAAGCATTCTGTTTAAATACGGGCTGTTGATCGACATGGGCGCTGAGACTCACATTTATTTTTAACTCCCATTTAAATAATCGTTGTTAAGTTAGGAATGTCACCAGAATGTTAAACGTGATCAGTTCATCTCCGTCATGGACCATTGTGAAGTCATGCTTTTAATAATCGGTGCATTCCATTATTATATTTCTCAAATCCTCAAGTGAATAGTTGAATATTTCCAAATGGCGTTCCCCTGCTGGGGTGTCGTCATCGTCTTCACGCTGTGTCACGTGTCGGTGAAGATGTTTTCAGCCCTGCCGGTTGTCAACACGTCTCATCATCTGGCGTATAAATCGCTTCGCAACGACATTCTGAGCAGGGACGTTGTGGTCAACAAGATCCCGCCTGTTCTGGACGTGGCTGACAACGAGACCGAACACGTGGAAGCCATGCACATTCTGTTGGTGCCTTTAGATGTGCTGGCAATCAATGAAATAAGTCAGGTCAGGTAGAATTGTGTGTGCTGTTTTTGACTTGCAGCAAAATGTGACGTTTTGAAAGTTCTTTTCAATCACATATGTTTACAGATAAATGTATTTTTTTTTAATATGTTAAATTGCAACTCTAGTTAAATTACACACAAGAAACCCAGAGCTGGCTGTTATTGTTTGGTGTAGTTGTCCCCTGATTTGGGGCATTACACAGCGTTAAGGTTCCTGAAAATAAGTCCCTAGAGCCGAAATTCCCTTCACAGGTCCGCCATTGTGTGTTTCATGAGAAAGTGCATGAGAGAGATGTTAACAGAGACAGCTACAATTAAAAGATATTCTTTTGTTAACAAAGACTATTATGTTAACAGAGACTATCATGAGACATTCGTTTGTGACGTCAGATATGGATTTCATCCTTGAAAGAGACACTGCTTATCTTTTGTCACTATTGTCATTATTCTAATTACTTCTATACAATTACGTATTCTCCGCAGGTTATTACCGTAATAGTTTTCATCCAATTTACGTGGACGCACAAAGAGTTGTCATGGCAACCTGCAGACCACGAAGCTATAGAATCCATTCAGATTGACAGCGGCTCCATATGGACTCCGAGAATCGTAACCTACATCGCAGTGGATGAAAATCTGGAGCTCAAGTTTTCGGAGACTCTCAAAGTATCACACACCGGAGAGGTTTCTTCTGAAAAGACTTACCCCATCTCATTTCGATGCGAGATCAACTTTGAACGATATCCCTTCGATACACAGATTTGTTCCCTTGGATTCTATCCATCATCCAGGCCGACTCCTCCTCTACACGTCAGTCCGATGGATTATGATTTGACTGACGTTTACAAGATCAGCGGAGAGTGGACCCTCCAGAGTTTACAATATGAAATCGTTACTAAGAAGAGTATTCTTCCTCTGGCTAATTTTCCGGTATATAGCTTCACTCTAACACGGCGGTCGACTTACTACGTCATCACCATCATATTCCCGATGATTCTGACGTCAGCTATGATTCATCTTGTGTTTGTCATACCGACGAAAACAGGGGAGAAAATTTCTTATCTGGTGGCCATCTTCACATCAACAGCCATCTTCCTAAACTTCATATGGTAAGTATGGCGTCAGATCGTGTGTGTATTTAACATTCAAATGTAATTGTGAAATTTTCTTGTTTTAAAGTGTTTGCGTTTTTACCTTGCTTTGGGTTCTTACCTTCTTCTTCTATATTTTGAGGGCCCAAGATCAATGAATTGATCATTCTGGCTCCTATGTTTCAGAGGGGTTCGCGATGTTACTTTGCATGGTTTTGAAGGGATACTTCACTGGTTGCAAGAGCTTCTCATCAGTGCTGTTATGAACTGGGGGGCTGGAAGACAGGAGGCAAAAGACGCAAATGTGTCAAGTGTTGTCCCCTCAACTGTTGCTTTTGGAAGTTTGTTCCAGTCCCTGATTGTCTTTGGCAGGAATGAGGAGCTCCTGTACTTCGTTCTTGTTTTTGTTAGCCAAAACTGCCTGTCGTGGCCTCGTCGTTGTCTAGGGGGGAGATGGACGAGTTTCTGTTTAATGCTGAAGCAGTGGACCAGCCCATTTTTGATCTTGTTCAACATGGAGCCTGGATATTCGTCGTCGTTCCTCCTACGTTGACCAGCCCAGTGTTTCCAGCCTGCTGCCAACACTTGAGGTATTTCTGCAGCGGTTCACGACAAAGCGTGCTGCCCGTCGCTGGACCGCCTCCAACCTGTCGATGCTCTTCTGAGTAAATGGGTCCCAGACTGAAGATGCGTACTCTAAAAGCGTCTTTATAGGCTTTTTTTCTTTCATACTTGAGTTGATAACTTTCAGATTTCGCCTTAGGAACCCTAGGGTCTTATTTGCCCGGTTGTACACATGGTTAACACACCTTGGTAGTACAATGTTTGGGTTTTTACCTTGTTAATACAATGTTACCTTATAAAACAACGTTTGGATTGTTAAGTTGGTAACGCAATGATATCTTACGAACAATCGCAGCACAGATTTGAAAATTTCCAAGCAAATGTTAGGCAAACCTATATCCCAATTTACGATAGCAAATTAACACACCATAACAGCAGTTAATATTATATAACTCACCAAAATTGATATATATATATATTCTATTACTCAATTTTTTTAAAAATATATATTTTTATTTTCATCTTAGTCTTTCTCAATGATGTTATTATGGATTGAACAACTGAGTTCAGTGCTGTTTTCTGTTACTACAACTATAGTTATGTCTAGAGAGGTTATGATATTTTATGAATACAATAGCTGAGTGGACTTAAAGCCCACGGCTTGAAATTTACAAACGTACACAATTAACAGAAAGAATATTAAACCTTGTGTACAAGTGGAGTTCTGTCGGTATATGTTAAAGTCGTACACATATCATTAGATGAGAGTTAACATTTGCGGCTCAAAGCCGGGAACTTGCTTACACATTTATTTTGTTCATTCGTGTACACATGTTTCAGTGACGTCATGCCCCGGGGTTTGTTGACTGTGCCTTACCTGGCCGTGCTGCTGGTGGAAGTCATGGTGGAAGGTTTTCTGGCCACCCTGGCCTCCTTGGTGGTCGTCACGAAGTTTGAATCCGAAGAAATTGTAAGTTTTCCAATGACCGTATTTATTGGCGTAGAACACGTCACCACGTATAACACGCACCTCAATTTAAGAAGAAAAATTTCAGGAAAAAACAACAACAACTAAACACTATATCGGCGTATAACACGCACACATCATTTGTCCCTATTTTCAGGGAGAACAAGTGCGTGTTATACGCCAATAAATACGGTCTATTTCCGCGGAGATATTTGCATTTATTTTTTAATTAACAACTTAACAATACAGTTAATTTTTTTTTTCAAAATGTGTCTTGTTAATCTATTGACCTTGAACTTATTTAACTTAAAATTAAAAAAAAATAGACATTTTAACCCATTTGTGTCAATAAAGCATGGTCTAAATACAACTTTTGTTTTAACTCTGTGTCATTATTTTTGTTCGAACTTAGTTTTACATTTGACACTGATATTTAAAAAAACAAACCACCAATTTAACTAGTACTGTTACCAGCTTCTTGTCACGTGATAATAGTAGGCTAAATTTAAATATTCAGATAAACTACTGCTTACCATGTTCAATATTCATATCCATTTTCAGGAAATAAAAAATAGGAATAGAAATTCAGGTTTCCCACTGAGGCTCAAGGGTGGATCTGTTGCTCCGTTGCCTGAGACCAAGCCTGAAGACGAAGATGAAACTCTGGATGCCAAACAGCACGAAATTGACAAATATGTGGTCAAAACTCCACACCTTACCTCAAAGAAACTGGATCTATTGTTTTTATTCAGCTTTGTCATTTGCCAGATAATTTTTCTGATTGTTTTGTTTGTGTTATCTGATTGTTGTCATTGATTGCGCCAGAGTTTTAGGCAACTTCAGGAAACCAGAATGCATGTGTGAAATGTCCAACGCAGAAGCTATTGGCAGTAGGACGAATGTTAAATTCAGCTGCTGTGGAGCATTACCTATTTAAACAACAATGCGCTATACATATGTCATCGTCTCTGACAAGAATCTCAGAGTTAATAAAACCTTGTGGCGCCCAGGGTTTTTTAAGAAGACTATTTCTTCATAACCTGCACTCACAGCTTTTCACGTGATATAACTTAGAAATTGTTATTTCAAAAATGATTCATGGTCTAAGCCAATAGTTCTCAAAGTTTATGGTGCTTCTCCCCCATTGGGCGGTGGGAGTCCCGGGAGCGGTAAAGTGCTCTGTAGTTTTAGGGGAGGGACGTTGAGACTACCTATGAGGGCGGTGGTGAATAAAATCATCAAATTTTTGTTTTAATTTAAATTATATAACTTTTAAAAAAAATAATAATTATCGGATGATTACCGGCCTGTCATGAATAGATATCAATCAGTCTGACAGTGCTAAGGGATATTGAAAACAAGAAATGTTTTCTTAGTAAGGCGTACCAACATAATGTGCACAGGCAGTACGGTGAATGCATTTTAAGAGGAGACGCCGTCATAGTTTTCTACGCACTGCACACAAAACATGAAATTAAATCACAATGTTTAGTTACTCAGGCGATACAGGTAACTTTTATTGATTGTTATAAGCGTGTCTGTTTTTCATACAAGGATATGTATATTTAAATTTATAGAAGGCAATTTTCTGCCAGGCCAGAGCGGGTCATCGACGTGCTGACAGATCACACCAACTGATATTATTTCATCATATGTCTTTGTTTTCTTAAAAGCTTATGAGTCTTGATTCTGGATTCTGGAGTCAAATAAATTTATTTATGTATAAGAGCGCTTGGTGTGACTGTGTTTGATGAGACTGTGCTTGGTGAGACTGGACTTGATGAGACTGTGCTTGGTGAGACTGTGCTTGATGACACTGGGCTTTATGAGAATATGCTTGATGAGACTGGGCTTGGTGCAATTATGCTTGGTGAGACTGTGGTGAGACTGTGCTTAGTGCCATTATGCTTGTGAGATTATATTTTACGTACTGTTATCAGTTTGGAGTAATTAATCACTTATTTTAAGTATATGGCTCGTTCTACAACAGTACACAACAAAAGACGATACCATTTTTAAGTACAATAGCAAAGCATGCGACACTCAAACCAGGGTTAATTACAATTAATAAATTTTATTATGTTAATAATGAATTACACGGCTTCTTGTCACCTGATAATAGTAAGTCGCTGTTACAAGCTATTTGACATAATAGACCTTTATTTAAATGACTGACGTTTCTCTTGGTGCTGATCCCAAGGTTATCAGGCTTTACTTCGTTATATTTATATTATAGCATATGTTTATGCTTATTTTATTCCTTCAAAATAGGTCTATTTATAGCCACCACCACTTGTCTCCAATAGTATGTCCTAGTATAGCATATGTGTAGAGGTATTTTATTCACCACTATTTACTCCCCTTAGTATGCCCTTGATATTCAAGTCACGGGTAAATGTGCTGTGTCATCCTATATCCCCTCCTTCCTTGGTCGGGAAAAGGTTGTTTACTTTCAAATGCGTTCTATTTATTCTAAAGAATACCATTAGGTGACGCAGTTTCAAGAATTTATTAACTAGAACGCTCTGAGTTGGTTCGTATAAATAGGTTGCCTGCTTTCTTATCAGATAGTTAGAGCGGGACAGCGCAGGAGAGACAGGAGGATGTTTTTGCTATACGAGACGCTATATAATTGTGTGTGTAAATTAATATTTGTAATTTTAGAAGTGTACCTTTTTCACTTGCTCTTAATTGATAAAGCTTTTTTCGATATTTGAATGTGTATACAAATTTATTAGTATAATTACATTAAATATTATTTGTATCATGTGCTTTGTTATCATTTTGTTTGTATACCGTCTCCTCAGTACTTTGTTAAGTACAGTTTATTCTAGGAGCCAAATCTTAACACAGATCTCTATGTCAAAACCATGACGGTACGTAAACGTTATTATCAGAAACATTTGTACATTTCAAAGTAATCAGTTTACATATGCCGGGAGGTGATGTCACGTTTATGTAAACCCAAGGAATCAACTCCATATCATCAAAATCAACTCTGTTCACTGGTGACATTTGCCAAAAATCCAAGACCTTTGGACCTAGAAGAGAAAACGCGTGTGTATTGGGTGGGGGAAGGGGGGCATTACAAGATGATAATCTAAGTGACGGCACTGAAGTTGGTGTTACTTGGTGCGATATCCCCATGGTGCCACCCTCCTCATTTTCAGACTTCTCCAAGGACCTTACTTAGTTTGGCTTGCTCTGATGGCAACCTGCTCTAGTGGCAACCTGATGTCATGCAACCTTATATTGTGAAAATCTCCTCTTATGGCACCATGCTCTTTCTCGTGACATACTGCTCTGGTCATAATCTCTAACAGCCTGTTCTTGCGTCAACTTGCTAAAGTAAAACCCTGCTCTGGCGATAACCTGCTCTGTCTGGTAGATCAGGTTCTCATTTCAACCTGCTCATGTAACTAACTGAGCTCTGTTTTGAAGCGAACTTGAGCAAACATTGTCAAAATTACGCTTTTCTATCTGGTGCGGGTGTCATTGTGTGCGGTCAGCGCCCCCCAAGCGCCACTACCGCTTAAAATATCTTGTTACCATTTGAACATCGTACATAAAATTATGTCTAAGCAATTTTTAGGATCTTGCTTAGTAATTGAAATTATAAATTTGCTGATGCTTTTGGTTATTTTGTTGAATAACTAATTCAAAGCTGAAGCCAAAGCTTTGAGACGAGTATCTAGAACTACCGCTTCAAAGGAAAATTTCATGTCATTCCTATTCACTGTGGAAAGGTGTCAAGAAGCTCCGTCTTTTTACACTCCAAACAAAATAATATGATCGAATGTTTATATGGGGTTGATGTAAGACTGTTCTTGTAAGCATTCTTCAACCAGACATTGATGAAATGACGTCACTTCTCTATGCGCATCCAAAGCATACACTTAGAAGAGTGCTAAGTAGAAGTAAGTTCCATAGGCGAGGCTTGTCTGTCTCAAACGTGTCCATCCCCAGTCTGTGCCCTAACGACAGATTCGAGGCGAAGGATACACATCCCTACAGCAAACTCTTGGCTATTTGGTTTTGGTTAAAGTAGCCGTTTTACCATCACCATTTGTACCCTCGTGTCGCTAAAGCTTTCACGTTAAATTTGCTAGCGTTATCTCCAGTGTATGCTTTGGTATTGAATTCCCTTAGATGAACGCTCCGATAAAACGGTTTGCAAACACAGATCAATTAGAGACGCCCCTGGGATTGTGAATACAGGTCTCCTTGATCTGAGCTCAACGTTCAAAGCCCCCGCATTTGTTCAAGGTGATCGAAAATGTTCAAGTGAGACGATACCTTCTGTCGTGAGGATTTACTGTTCTTTGGAATTAAGCGTTTCAAATTAAAAGAATAAATTAGATTTTTTAAAAACAAATCTATCTAGGAATGAATAAATGCCCGTCAAGTATTACAGGAGTTCACTTAGTGTAAACTTTAATCATTTTTTTTAATACGCATCAATAGAAATAGAAAAGTAATTAATTGAGAAGGAACTGCTTATGGTGTATGTGTTCATTTCGGTAATATGTGCTTTATGAGAACATCCACTTCTAGGATATGCCATTTAATATATTATATAATATGTCATTCATTGTAGGTCTTCAACATATATAATTTTTATGGTGAAATAAAAATCATTTTTTAAAATATATTTTTACAAAATTCAAGTTATTGTGTAATATAAAATTAACCATTATGATTGTAAGCAAATAAGAAATTGCTATTTTCACCCGTACTTAGTAAATTCACCGGTATATTGGTATTTTCACATTTATATTGGTATTTCTACCCGTATATATTGGTATTTTCTCCCGCATATTGGTATTTCCACAAGTATGATGGTATTTTCACCCATAATTGGATGTTTATTTGCGTTGCAGTGCTTGTACATCGTTACCTTGTAGGAAAAACACGATTTAATTCTGTAGATCTTATTATTCAACATTGCATAGACAACTGCAGCGTTCATGCGTCATCTCGCACGCATCGTTCTTCTCCTCGTTCAAATAAAGATCTGCGCGTCACTCGTTCATGACGCGACAACGACACAAAGACAAAACCTTGACCTTTCTACCTCTATGTCCTTGGACGGTTACGTGCCCGGCGCGCGGTCGTCCGCCGACCACCATGCCCAGGCGATCATATCCTCCTACCAAAGGTTGTACTCCAACATCACAGCAACACCTGCATTCACGTACAAGATACCGCCTGGGTTGCTGGGTGTGACGTCACGTTCTTACCAGATGGCTTTTGAGCTCATCGTCATAGACATCTTCAACCTTGATGACGTCAAACAGGTTTTTGCTTTCGTTATTATTATATAGTTTTTTTTTGTTACTTGTGTTTTTATATTTTATTCCCTTTTAGGCTATTAACATTTGATAGATGTCAAATTAACTTTACTTTGAATTGATTCTTTTACTTAAGTCTATTTTAACATGCCCAAACCCCTTCAACTCCAGGAAATTTCATGTATACCAATTTCAAGGACGTAGCCCACGGCGTTAATAATTCAAATGGATGATTGAAATATTTAGAACACCTGGCCAAGTAAGGATTATTTGGCCAGTATTTTGTGGCTTTTATCAGCGATTAAATTTCCCTGATTGAATGGACGATCCAGGATTTGAGCAAAGTCTAAGTGTTATGACCTGACCATACTTCCATGCAGGGGCGTATGAAGGGGGTATGGAGAGGCCGGTTCGCCATCGGTGGAGCTTTTTTTTTTCTTTATATAAAGGGCAGAATTTTCGGCCAAGTGCAGAGTTTTTTTTTTCCAAGGAATTAAATGCTGTGTACACGTCTCTGGCATTCAAACTATTATTTTCATTTGTGTTCCTAAATTTATTTCATTTTTTTATCATTGATCTAACTTTTTAAAAAAAAATTCTACCTGAAATTTCTTACTAACGAACTCTCTCTCTCTGTATATATATATATATATATATATATATATATATATATATATATATATATATATATATATATATATATATATATATATATATATATATATATATATATATATATATATATATATATATATATATATATATATATATATATATATATATATATATGTAGATATATATATATATATATATATATTTGCCAAATAATATTGTATAGGCGAGCTGCCAGACGCTCTAAATGAGTTCTTTATTACCGAAGTTGCGAAGCTCAGGGCGAGACTTGACATTTGCACCAATACTCCCGAATTCTTGCCATTTAACGGCACTCCTATGAAGGAATTTTTGGAGGTCACTGAATCCCATGTGACGAAAATCCTGGTGACTCCCCAAGAAAGTCATGTTAACGTGACCCTCTTCCGTCAGGGCTGTTGTACGAAAGTTTGGATGAAATAGCCCCTATCATAAATAGTATCATAAATAATTCTTTGAAAACTCATATTTTTCCATCCTCTTTTTAAAGAGGCAGTTGTAGCTCCACTGCTAAAGAAAGCAATTCTCGACGCAAATGTTTTATATTTATCGGCCCAGCTCTAATCTACCATGTATATCCAAAATCTTAGAGAATGTTGTTCTCCGCCAGCTCCTGCATCACCTCACTGAGTTTGACTTGATTGAGCCTTTCCAGTCAGCATACAGGGCGCATCACTCTACTGAGGCAGCACTGTTGCGCGTCGAAGATGACCTTCTGTCGTCTTGTGATGAGGGCCAAGTATCCCTTTTGTCGCTACTTGATCTATCGGCAGCGCTCCATATGCTTGACCATGGCATACTTCTCCAGCGTTTGCAAAAAACGTTCGGTTTGATCGATACCGTCCTGAGATGGTTCCACTCGTATCTGACAAATCGGGTCCAATCAGTTATCGCAAACGCCTTGACCTCGAAGCTATCGATTATCGAGTTCAGAATACCCCAGGGCTCGACCCTAGCCCGGTGCTTTTCAGTATGAACGTTCAGACCGAGGGTGCAGTGATCAAGCAGTTTGACATGCTATATCACATGTTCGGGGATGATACCCAACTTAAGCAGTCCCTGATACCTTCTCAGCTCACTCAGCTTCTTAGTATGACAGAAGACAGTAGAGTCAGTAAAGTACTGGATGACCATAAAAAGCTCAAATTGAACGATGAAAAGACCGAGGTCATCTCCATTGCTACCCCTCAGAAGCAAAAATCTGTACATAACACACCATCCCTTACTCTCTCATGTGTACAGATTGAGTTTGCTCAAACAGTGCGAAACCTGAGTGTCTACTTAGACAGAACACTAACTACGGAAAATCACCTGCTTGGCAAGGCAATTTTTCTAGATCTGCGCAAAGTTAGTTGTGACGTGACGTATGTTGTCTAGGGGTCGGTCCCCTCTGTACTAGCCACAGAACAATTTTTCAAGGGTCTAGAACCCCTTTATTTCCAGCTCCTACAGAGCTGACTCTTGTTCCAAGTATCAACAAACAATTCAGGGATTCAGATTTTCTTATTTATTGGCTATGTGTGCCTATATACCACTACACAAAACAGTTAAAGTTACACAAGTCCTCTTCCATCCGTAGAAAAACTCACTGCCTTCATAAGACAAAAAATCATACACACATCCACAGCACTCGCCACTGTTCACTCCTTCAAAAAACTCAACTCACACACGTGGTTCCTCCTGACACAGCACACAGGTCATACCTTGACCGAGAAAAATAAAAACCCGTGGGGCACACGAGGAAAAGAAACTCACCCAAATTAACATTATAAAAGTTGACACAGAAAACCTCACGCGATCTGACCGTGACATTAGTCATATCAGACCTTTTTAAAAGTTTGATGCATCAAAGAGGCTGATGTCTGCATTCGTGCTTTCGCATGGTTTTGCACAAACGCAAATTTGACGATGCTAAAAGACTTCTCAGAAAGCTGCATTGGCTGCTGGTCCACGCTCATATAGAGTACAAAATTACAACTCTGTGCTACTGCTGCTTGCATGACCTGGCGCCGTCCTATCTCAAAGCGCCCATGACGCCTTTTGTACCCAGTAGATCACTCCGTTCATCCGATAGTGGGAAAACTCTTGATACCGCGAGTCCACCTTGAGACCTACGGAAGTCGCACTTTGCTTTTGCTGGCCCAAGAATCTGGAGCGCCCTTCCAGTCGCTCTAAGAAACAGCCAGACACTGCAGTCTTTCAAAACTGAGTTGAAAACACATTTATTTCTTACTCACCTGCTGGGGTGATGTAGTCTATCTCCTTTTTCCAGCTTGCTCATATCCCTCGATGTATACTGGCTTGTATTGTCCATTGGCTTGTATGTAGATTTTGTATTGTTGCGTTTTGTAATTTAATTTGTAAAAAATAAAAATTTTAATATATGGTTGACTTTGTATCGCGCTTCAAGCATTAATTAGCGATGAACCGTGTTCTTGAAATGGAATTTATATTTTATATATATATAAAAAATTGAAATGCTATTTTTTGTCTGATGACTAGTCAGTTTCAAAACAAATCTATTATTCTTTTTTGAAATCTCATCACAGATAATGACGGTGGTTGTTTATTTAATAGTGTCTTGGAAGCAATTGGGAGTAGCCTGGAATCCGAAAGACTACCACGACATCGACGTCATATTTGTTGACACCGCGTCGCTATGGCACCCACAGCTCATGGCCATCATGGGGGACAAGGACTCGATCCTCATGGAGCTGGAAGAAACGCTGACCGTCACTTCAGACGGCTGGGTGAATTCTTCCAGACCTTACTACCTCTCCTCCGCCTGCGAGATCGCCTTCGACAAATATCCGTTCGACTACCAAACATGCAGCATAGGCTTCTACCCGCTCGGGACGCAGTTCAAGCCGACGATTCAAGTTAAGAATCCGGACTTCACCCTCAAGAGCCTGTACAGCCGTGGCGGGGAGTGGATGTTGGAGAATGTCAGTTTCTCTATCGTCACCTCAGACGAGAGTCTCCCGATAAGCGTCGTGTTCCCGCGGTACAACTTTACCGTGCGGCGCCAGCGAACGTATTACGTCATCACGATCATTTTCCCGATGGTTCTCACGTCGGTGATGATCCCGCTCGTGTTCCTGATACCGTCAGAGACCGGGGAGAAAATCTCCTACCTGGTCGCCATCTTCACATCGTGCGCGATATTCCTCAATTTTATAAGGTGGGTCACGTGGGGCTTTTCGAGACTGTGTAGATTGAGTGTGTGTCTTGTGTGTATCATGTGTGGAGTACCGGTAACTGCATTTATCACAAAAGGCTTTGTTGGTGCGAGTTGCCCTGTAGTGTGAGGTATTCCCATTTTGCATGAGTTTAATGCCAGACGTTTTCTCAGATGTTACTATGTGTTGTGGCAATGTTTTTATTAAATTTGTCTTTCAGCCATGTGGGGTTTATCAGGCGCTTACCTATCAACTTGGACAACTTGACCATGTTTACTAAAATGTATTATTATTTACTAGTATTAAAATTTTTGAATTACATGCTTTAAATATTATTATAATTATTTATTTTATTATTATATTGAAAATTTATTGGAATAACGATTATCCAAATCAAAAAGTATCGGCAACTTTGTACTAGAGCAAAAGAAAATAACTTAATGATTTTTTTAAAAATAATATAACTATATCAGACAGCAAATAGTCTCCCACCCAATTTTACAGTGTAACAATCCTAATGGGGGTGATATTGTTACGTGTAATAAATTGATTTTGTATTATTTATTCACAGACGTCCATTATCTAGCAAAGCACGGGGATCAAGAATCCTGAAATTTTGCATCACACATTATATTACTTGAATACGGACATCACATAAAAATAATATCTCCATAAATAAGAGCAAAACTAAAATTGTCACATAACTTCTTTTAGTTCACATTAGTTGAACCAAAATTTAGATGTTGTTTCATATCAACACAATCATTGCCAGCGCCAACAAAAAATAATAATCCATAACCCCCTTCTTATCCGGATGATTCACTGCGCATGTCATATATATTTACTTCCTATTCCGTATCCCTTATAAAAATAATACATCATACCGAAACAAAATTATTTATTCAAATATTTGATCTGTGACATACAGTATAAACTGTTTTGTCACCTTTAGAGAGTCACAATTATAAAGCGCATTTTTTTCCCCTTTTGATCTTTCATCAGTGACGTCATGCCCAGGAGTCTGTCATGTTGGCCGTTCCTCTCCATCCTCCTCGTTGAGGTCTTCATAGAAGGACTCCTGGCGGTGCTCGCTACAATAGCAGTGGCCAAACTTGAACAGAAACAAAAACTGGTAAGCCGTGTATCAGAGCACCATTTCACCGCTGAGAGATTTCTCACTGGTTTGTGACTAAATCAACCCCGACCTAAGATTAATAAGTAATTCTTTCATTACGTCGAAAATGTAGGATAAATATATATGTTTAAGTCTTTCATCTTTTTGTACAAATTCTCTCATTAGTTTTTCATGCTTAGAGAAGACGGCCGTTATGAAGATTTAAAACAATGTTTGGGAGATTTGATCAAAGATTTGGATCATTTTTTGGAAGTGTAATAAATATCAGGTAAAAACAGTGGCGCACTAAGGGGGAGCGGAGGGGCGGCCCGGCCAGGGGAGCTCTTACTCTAGCTGCGCCACTAGTGGCAAATCATTGGAAAGTATCAGGTCAGCACGTACTGAATAAGCCACATATTTTATCGTCAGGTTAACGACGCTAGAGCCAGCAGTTTCCATGGGGCACTGAAGGCAATCTTTGTGAAGAACCAAAGCAGCCAGGGGGAGAAGGCAGTGGAGGTCTCAAAGGGCCAAAGTCCATGCACAGCTCTGAGGTCCCATCAGCTGGACGTCTTCTTCTTTGTGACGTTTACAGGTTTTCAGTTGGGTTTTTTAAGTTTCTTGTTTCTTGGCACAGGTTGGCTGCACAGGTGAACTTAATGACAGGTAAACACGGGTTGGCTGGACGGATAAATTTACTGACAGGTAAACACAGGTTGGCTGGACGGAAAAACTTAATGACGGGTAAACACAGGTTGACTGGACAGATGAACTAAAAAACAGGTAAACACAGTTGACTGGACAGATGACCTTAATGAGAGGTAAACACAGGTTGGCTGGACAGATGAACTTAATGACAGGTAAACACATGTTGACAGGACAGATGAACTTAAAGACAGGTAAACACAGGTTGGCTGGACAAATGAATTTAATGACAGATAAACACAGGTTGGCTGGACAGATGAACTTAATGACAGGTAATCACAGGTTGACTGGACAAATGAATTTAATGACAGGTAAACACAGGTTGACTGGACAGATGAACTTAAAGACAGGTAAACGCATGTTGGCTGGACAGATAAACTTAATGACAGGTAAACACAGGTCGACTGGACGGATGAACGTAATGACAGGTAAACACAGTTTGCCGGACAGATGAACTTGATGACAGGTAAACACAGGTTGGCTGAACAGATGAACTTAATGAGAGGTAAACACAGGTTGGCTGGAAAGATGAACGTAATGACAGGTAAACACAGGTTGACTGTACAGATGAACTGAAAGACAGGTAAAAACAGGTTGGCTGGACAGATAAACTTAATGACAGGTAGATACAGGTTGGCTGGACAGATAAACTTAGTATCAGGTAAACACAGTTTGGCTGGACAGATGGACTTACCAAAGGGTAAATTTACTTAAAGACAGGTTAAAATATTAAAATAAAAATTTCTCTTGCATGTTAACTTACTGACATGTAAATTGTCCTGGCACTGATGAATTTATTTTACAAAGTAAACTGTCATGACAATATGAGATAGTGGCTGTCATAAAACAAAGTCATTTGTTTTAACATTGAGTTTCATTATGGTTTCACTTATTTCAGGTTATGTAGATACACTTGCGATATTTCACATTATGTGATACACTATCTTTTCCGATACACTTGACTTATTTCACATTATGTGATACAGTATATTTCTAATGCGTGTACTTACCATCTACCAAAGTTACTTAACAAAACAAGTAATTCGAGTAAGCACTCTACAAATCTCCCCCTCCCTTCCCGATGCGCCACCGCCCCTGAACTAAATCAATATTCTAATGCCGTACCCCCTTTGACACCTAAGATATATTGCACAGACCATTTCCGTAACACTAAATAAACTATCCTTGCACTTGCGGTATTTTTAAAAATCGCATTTAGTGCATTTATTTGGAATTTTATTTGGTAAAATTAACGCCACCTGGTAGCGTTAGTAACATTGTTACATAAAGAACAATATATTTTGGAAAAAAAAAGACTTAGAGCTAAAAAAAATGACACACAAAAAAGTGAAGTTACGATAACTTGTACAATGCATTAGCTTTGTATTGTGAATGTTTTCTTGTAGTGGGATAAAAGTGGTAAACTTGGAGACAACAAGGTTAATAAAAACATTTTTTAATGATTTTAAAGTTATTTTAATATTTGTATAAAGAAAAATGTCATTGCACTGAAAAATAAAATATGCAGTATAAAAAGCATGAAATAGTTTTATAAGTGAAAGAAACATCACAATAGCTTGCGATTAAATAAGTTACTCAGTTCAACAATATAGTTGTGTAACAGCTATTTACAAGACTAGCGAATAAGGGAATGCAAGACATCGACATCATACAACGAGATCAGATAACAGATCAGACAACGAGATTATACAACGAGATCAGACCACGAGCTCAGACAATGAGATCAGACAACGAGATCAAACTACAAGATCATACAACGAGATCATACAACGAGATCAGACAACGAGATCAGACCACGAGATTAGACCACGAGATCAGATAATGAGATCAGACAACGAGATCAGACAACAAGATCAGACAACGAGATCAGACAACGAGATCATACAACAAGATCATACAACAAGATCAAACCACGAGATCAAACCACGAAATCAGACATCGAGATCAGACAACGAGATCAGACAATGAGATCAGACAACGAGATCAGACAACGAGATCAGACAACGAGATCAGACAACGATATCAATAGTGATTGGATTTATTTAAACTAATTGTATTCACATGGCCAGGGTTGAAACATAATTCGAGGGGCTTCTAAGCTCTTTAAACTTTTTTGAACTCTTGCTGTAAATTGTAGCTAATATGTCACGTGTCATCTCGGCCCATTTTTCTGTAACTGTTCAATGTAGTCGGTCTCATCTGCACAACAAAATAAATAAAGGCTCATTTATGATTTCATTCTTTAAAAAAACAAAGTCTTTTGAAAGAAATGCATTTAAATTTCACAGAGAGTTCAAAATAAATTTATTTGTATGAAATAAGAAATCATTATAAGAATTATTGAAATAAGATCTTATTTTCTTTTTAACAATGTGAAATTTTAGATGAACTAATGTAATCAAATATTATTAGGCTGTGTTCATTTATTGTAGCTAAAATATTTCTGGAGCATAATTTAAGAATAAAAATCTTTGTAATTCTGGTAAAGTATGTAATGATTTATTTTATCAAATGTTAATATGCGCTTGTCATAAAGATAGTTGTCATAAAGATAGTTGTCATAAAGATAGTTGTCATAAAGATAGTTGTAATAAAGATAGTTGTAATAAAGATAGTTGTCATAAAGATAGCTGTCATAAAGATAGTTGTCATAAAGATAGTTGTAATAAAGATAGTTGTAATAAAGATAGATGTCATAAAGATAGCTGTCATAAAGATAGCTGTCATAAAGATAGCTGTCATAAAGATAGCTGTCATAAAGATAGTTGTCATAAAGATAGCTGTCATAAAGATAGCTGTCATAAAGATAGCTTTCATAAAGATAGCTGTCATAAAGATAGTTGTCATAAAGATAGATGTCATAAAGATAGTTGTCATAAAGATAGCTGTCTTAACGATAGCTGTCATAAAGATAGTTGTCATAAAGATAGTTGTCATAAAGATAGCTGTCATAAAGATAGCTGTCATAAAGATAGCTGTCATAAAGATAGCTGTCATAAAGATAGCTGTCATAAAGATAGTTGTCATAAAGATAGTTGTCATAAAGATAGCTGTCATAAAGATAGCTGTCATAAAGATAGCTGTCATAAACATAGTTGTCATAAAGATAGTTGTCATGAAGATAGTTGTCATAAAGATAGCTGTCATAAAGATAGTTGTCATAAAGATAACTGTCATAAAGATAGCTGTCATAAAGATAGCTGTCATAAAGATAGTTGTCATAAAGATAGCTGTCATGAAGATAGTTGTCATAAAGATAGTTGTCATAAAGATAGCTGTCATAAAGATAGCTGTCATAAAGATAGTTGTCATAAAGATAGTTGTCATAAAGATAGCTGTCATAAAGATAGTTGTCATAAAGATAGTTGTCATAAAGATAGCTGTCATAAAGATAGCTGTCATAAAGATAGCTGTCATGAAGATAGTTGTCATAAAGATAGCTGTCATAAAGATAGTTGTCATAAAGATAGTTGTCATAAAGATAGTTGGCAGAAAAGATAATTAGTAGAAACAACCCCACCACCCCCCCCCCCAACCAATTAAACAATTGATTAGTGAGTCGAAGGAAGAACTGATATGGCATCCGATACTTTAAGGTTTCAGACACGTTGTTCACATCTTTTTGCGATAACTGAAGATGTATGATAATCTGAAAATGAAACCTTGTGCATTTAGTGAAATTAGTTGGTAAACTTAAAATGAAAACTTTTTGCAGTTCGAGAAAATTACTTGGAACACTTACAATGAAAACTGTTGCACTTTGGGAAGTTAGTCGGCGGTTGAGGCCACAAGGGAAAAGATTCATTCAACATAGCGATCATGCCATCGGTCATGTGAAGTTCAAGGTGACAGTGAATTAACCATGCACCTGGGTTGTCAGCCTAAAAAAATGGTTCACGAGGTTTGACAGAAAAACCAAAATGATGAGCTTACATATAAACTAAAATATATTATTTGAAACGCATCTTTTTATTGTTTTTATTTAATTTGTATCGATTACAAAATGTTTTCCTCTTCCTTTTGTTGTCAGTATCATAGTTACTCAGAGATTGTTACAGAAGGCAGTTCAAATTATTACAACCAAAAGTCTGATTATAAGATTAATAGTAAACGCATACAGAGAAATCTTAGTGATTAATCTTAGTTTAGGGAGAAAAAAATGGAAAAGCTTGTCATAGGGCTTTTCATTAAGTCTTTATGGTACTAATGTACAGTGTAAAGCAGACATGCTAGACAGCTAAACCATCTCCATTACACTGCCTACGTACAATTCCTTGCTTTAGCTCGCAGGACAGAGTCCCTGATACAGAGGTCTTACACCGGCTGAAGGTATCAGCATCCACACAGCTCCTACACAAAAGGACAAGACAGATGGGCGGGGGATGTCGCAGGAATGCCAAACAGCAGACTTCCCAAAGGAATGTAGTTCAGAGAACTCTCAAGTAGGAAGCGCTCAGTTGGTGGGCAGAAAAACCCCATTCCAATGACTGTCTACAAGCTTCACTTAAATCCATGGACATTGACAATGATTCATGGGAGACACTTGCCATGGACCATGCAAGCTGGCGGGGCAGACTTACTGTTGGAGCAAAATCCTCAGATTATAAGTGTATCGCTCATGCCCAAAGAAAGCTTTCCGGGCGCAGGTGGAGCTGGCAGGCCACATGCATACTCATCGTGTAATATAGCGTTTGTCATCTTCGCATGTGAAGGACGAACAACAACAACATGGTGCTAATAAATGAATCATGATGAATCCGTAAGAGTAAAAATTAATTTCCTGTATATTCATTTTAAAAAAAACATCTCACAAGTGCAGTGCATAGCTTAAATCTGGAACCACTATGCATACCTTAAATCTGACCACCACATAACCACCAGATGGCACCACTATTGTGTCTTTAGCAGGGGCCCGTGTCAGCTCTAGACCTGGTATATTGCCAGATTTCCAGGTCTGGTCAGCCCACCTGGCATTGTTACAAAAGCTCTCCGTGCCATGCTCTCCCTGGCCACAGTTGATGTCCTGGTTCTCCTTGATGAACTTCCCTGAAGATTCGTCGTACGTGGGATAACCTATTTTGACCACCTATTGGTTTTAGAAATAATTGATAATCAAAACATTGTAATGTTTCTGGCTTTATGTTTTTTTATCATTAAAATGAAAGATAACATTTTTATTTCTTTGACAATGGCAAAAACATAAATAAGCACTGCCTGATTTTCTTGAAGTTATCTAAACCCATTGATTTTTTAGTTTCCAGATTTACCGCATGGCACATTTTTTTTTCTAAAATAAAATGAACAGATTTCTATGAAAAAAAAAGCGTTGCTTGTTTAGCTCTGTAATTGATGTATTGTGTTTCGGTGGGGAAAAAAAACTATCAAATAGTGAAAAACTGTAACCACTGTGTTACCAAGCTGTGCACAGCTGATTAAATCAACATTTATATAACTTTATTTCCTTTCTAAATTCAATGTGATAGGACGCGACATCTAGCGGCGATAGTGTGCGAACACCAGTATTTCACGTAGTGATAACTGCAGATTTTTCATGTTAAGCTTTATTACAATAAATGATCGGTAGGTGTTCGATTTCATGTTGTACAATCCTTTAATTAAAAACATATGTTAAATACATTGCTGTGAAGTTGTTAAAATTGGATATAGGGCGGCGACTTGTGACAACCAAAGGCGCTGAGAATACTAAAAGTTTGGGAACCACTGCAGTCACTTTTACAGATAAAAATTGAATTTACTTGAGTTGACTCAATCAAGCGTAACTATGTCTTAAGCTCACCTGGAATGAATGGCCGTGTATGTGGATGGGATGGTCCCAGCCCCTCCCGGCCCCCATGTTGACCAGGACCAGCTGGACGAGGTCATCTCGTGAGTAAGAGATGATGTGAGGGCAGTGGCAAATCTTCTCGTCGCCACACTGGTCACGTGAACATTGGACATGCGCATCTTGGGGCTGAGGGAAACAAAACATGGCGGTGTGTAATTATTGGTGGTGTGCAATTATTGGTGGTGTGCAATTATTGGTGGTGTGTAATTATTGGTGGTGTGCAATTATTGGTGGTGTGTAATTATTGGTGGTGTGCAATTATTGGTGGTGTGCAATTATTGGTGGTGTGCAATTATTGGTGGTGTGTAATTATTGGTGGTGTGCAATTATTGGTGGTGTGTAATTATTGGTGGTGTGTAATATTTGGTGGTGTGCAATATTTGGTGGTTTTTCAATCTTTAATCGTCTTAATTATGTGTTAATCGGTATCGAGTGTAATCTGTGATGTGCATGGTCTTTAGTGAAACCGAGAGAGATAGAGAGCATTTGTTGCTGTGTTTGGTAAATGAAAGGTAGATTTTAAAACTACTGCCAATACAATAATAGATCATCGTGGGCAACTTTACAACACCTCAAAGTTATTTTTTTTATCCGGGATTCAACTAACTACCATAAACGGTATAAAGTAATTTAATATGGATGAATTATATTCACAAGTAATTTAACAGGGTTGGCAAATGTCAAGGCAGTTCGACTTACAGTGGTGGAAACTTTGAGATGTATAAAGAGATAGTCATGAACGGAAGTTATTTGTCATGAAGATCACCCAAAGCAGGGAAGAATTTCCACATTAAAACTTTCGATTCATCAGTGTTGAAAGAGGTTTTTAAAAATGGTTTGTATGTGGTCGCTTTCGGTAGGAAGGGTCGGGAAATCCTAGGACCGTCCGGGTGGCACAAAACTCTTTTTACGCCACCGCCAACAAAGGCGATATTCCATAATGTAATCCAGTTGTCGGACTTGACATCAAACTAAATATTCGTGTGTCGTGAATTAAAATTACTTTGAGTTGATGTGTGAAATGCATCATGACTTAAAATTACGTTCAATAATACATCGGTGTCTAAGTTTCATTTCTTAGTTTTGTCTTTACATTTGCTAGTGACAAAAAGAAGATTTTTCAGTGTATTTTAAAGTAAGATGCCTGACGTGTAGCAGGCCTACCTGTGACAAGAAGGGCGCTGGTGGAAAGACAAATGCTCGGCCATTGACTGAGCCTGGGGTCTCCGTATGTCCAGGGAAAGCAAAGTTGAGAAAGTATTCCACCAAATTATTGCTGCTTGATGGCTGCTCAATGAAATAACACATACACGTAAAGGATGTGCAATAAAAAACAACAAAAACATGCAGATTATGTATATAAAATAATTGCAACCATGTTAACACAGCATGTATTATTGTACTCGAAATAATCTCCTGGAGCAGATTAACTACTATCAAAAACATATTTTGACTTTATAAATCCATTACTAGTTTTTCTCGACATATACGTTTCAAAAATTTTAAAAAAATGGTGCCCGGATTTTGTAAGATCGTATTTATATCTTATTCATTGGTTTATTTATGACCTATTTTATTCCCATTTCACCTTTAGTGTATTGACACGTGGTGCCCGGAGTTGGTCGAAATTGATACATTTTGTGTGCGCTGTCGCAGGGTAGTAGAGAAATGGACAATTCAGAACCAGGCAAGGGTCAAGGTCTGAGCAACGTCTTCGTGTAGATTTAGGCTCAGAATTTTCCGATGCGCCGATGTAACGAAGGACAGCCTCGGCGATGTGTGTGTGGCCCACCTAAATAGTAAAGAGGAGAAATGGGCATTATTATTAGATTGATGGCTAGTTTTTTGTTTTACGTTCACACTTTCGAAGGTCTTAATATTAAACACATATTTTCATACACTTCAAGATGTGTGCCTCAAGTGTTTTTTTCCTGAAAGATGTGTACCTCAAGAGTTTGTCCTGAAAGATGTGTACCTCAAGAGTTTGTCCTGAAAGATGTGTACCTCAAGTGTTTGTCCTGAAAGATGTGTACCTCAAGTGTTTGTCCTGAAAGATGTGTACCTCAAGTGTTTGACCTGAAAGATGTGTACCTCAAGTGTTTGTCCTCTGATCCAGTAGTTTTCTCGAGTCTGATTGCAGTTGATGATGACGTCAAACCTCTCCCCAGGGTGCACGATGATCGACTCCACTATGACCGGCTCCAGGTCCTCGCCGTCTGAGGACACCACGAGGAAAGGGTGGCCATCAACGGACACACGAAATGGGTAAATGTCACTTGGGTTAAACAGGCGCAACCTGGGGAACAAACACGGACATTTGCGGACATTAGGAAATGTCTAGTACAAACAAGAACATTAGGAATATGTATAGTACAAACACGGAAATTTGCTGACATTAGAAATATGTGTAATGCAAAAAACACGGAAATGTGGGATATGCATAGAACAAAAAATGGTGGAACAAGGCATGTACATGCTCCAAGATCTCAATGTAGTTCTCTATCTCTGTTTAGGTTTCTATAATTACTGCAAACGAAGGATAATTTTTTTTGTGGTACTTGGAGTGTACTATTTTGATAAATTTTTTGAAGGTAGTTGGTGAGTTTCTTGTGACATGACGTTAACAATACATCATTGACGTTAACAATACATCAACGAGGTCAACAATACAGCAATGACGTCACCTATACAATCACTGACGTCAAAAATACATACATGACGTCAGCAATACATCAAATTTGATACCAACTTGTAGCGCTTGCCCTGCTCAACGGTAAAGATAGACAGTGGCGCCTCGTTGTGGTGGCCGCCGTCGTCATAGAAACGACCCCTGCCGTTGATGAGACCAGAATGGAACACGTAGCCGCTGTTGGGGTTAAATAAAAGTTGGATGAGATAAAATTACGGAGATGAAGCTTCAAATAAGTTGACAGGTAACTAGCTACCCGTTGAAATCAGTTTTGAGTCAAACTGCAATAATATTGTTTAAGGGATAATAAATGAAGGGCCGCGTTCAAGGTGTGTTAAGGATATCGTTGAACAAGGTATGCGGAAGCTTGAATTAAGAAACAGGACAATGAGACAAGAGCGTTTCGGCTTGGCCAAGAATACGTTAGTGTTATTTTTCATGTTTATGTTTTCAAATTGAGATACATGAGATGTATATGTTGCAGATAAATGACTAGAATATCAACACGTTTATTTTTTTCTTAGAAAAAAAAAATAATTTCATCTGTTATTGCTATATTTGGTAAAATTTTCTTTTAATCTTGTCCTGAGCCATGCAACACATCCAACCTGACCTATAATTAAACAAGCGTTCTCTTAGTTAACATGAAAACTTTCTTAAAACAAGACTAAGAAAACAACATAGTACCTGTATCTGACTCCAGCATGAGTCTGCGTATTTTGGTATTTCTGTCCCCTTGAGTAGATGCCCCACCTCATCTTCATGGTGACAAGGTTCGAATCCCACTCGTGGTTCCAGTCTTGAAACATCAGAATAAACTCATCGGCCACGTCAACTTCTGGACCTGGACTTTCGTCTCTCTTGGTGTCGGAGGTAGCTCTAAGAGAAACATTAACGTAACGTGTCAGGCGCCTCGCGGTACATTTACTGTTTGAAAAGCTGGCCTAGTTTTAAATGATGCACCCACTGTTACCAGTAACCCATAAAGTTTATCTAACAAACCTTGGATGTATTACTAAAGGTCCATATAATCCGTTTGTCATTTGAGGACCGCTGTGAGAATGGTAGAAGTATGACCCAGTTTGGTCAACTCTGTCAATCAAAGTAAAAAATATCATTGGATGTAACAGTTGAGACATGGAATTTAAAAAACGATGCTTAAATGATAATTATTTGTTAACGTTCAGAACAAACCAATGAGAGACGAAATGACAATTAAAACCAGATCGAATTTCGTATTGGTTATAAATAAACCAAGGGCTAAGACACAACCCACCACCCCCACCCCTAATTACGCCACACACCGAAGTCACGCCCCGCTAGCTTTTATAATATAATCGTACAATAATGCGAATATGTCAGAGGAAGACTTACACAAATCTCTGTTCAAAACTTTGTCCTGGTAAAATGGGACACTGTGTAATAAACGGGACGCCATCACTGTAGGGTGTACCACATTGTCTGACACCGTGGAAATGAACTGAAGTCGTCTCCTAGATTCAAAATTACTACATTTTAAGTTGATCTTCATTTTGATAATTTTTTTTTAAATATTTGAATGACTTTCAATCATTTTAACTTTAGATACTGATTTTTAAACATAAGGTTGTTATTTGTCTTGTCACAGTGTTTATGTGTTGGCTATTATTTATGAATATTTCGTGGTAAAATTTACAACAAAAAAATCTTAACCTAAATTAATTTGTGAACAAAGATATGGTGCAATCAAGAGTGGATTAAAAAAGAGCCCTTAGTGTACTTGCATGCATCATTTTGTTGATGACCCTAAGATGAACTTTCTGACCCCTCCACACATGCAGTGCAGGCCCAGGTATGGTCCCATTGAAAGTCATAACGAGGCGCGGCTCGTAGAAGCCATCAGCTGTGACAACCTCAGACATTGGTATTTGAGAGGCATCATGGGAAACATTGACGTCATACCTGCAACAAATAAGGAGATATTATATTGTGTTTGTACTTTTTACGTCATACCTGCAACAAATAAGGAGATATTATATTGTGTTTGTACTTTTTACGTCATACCTGCAACAAATAAGGAGATATTATATTGTGTTTGTATCGAGATTTGATTATTTTTTTTTATAAATAATATTTTAAAAATAAAAAAATTAAAATGCAGATTGACCAAATTTATTTTGATCGGATTATTCGAGCTTTAAAATTTACAATGATACAATAACTATACTAAATGGGTTTAGAGATGACACTGTCCTCAAATGCTAGAATAACTATACTAAATAGTTTTAGAGATGACACTAGTGTCCTCCAATGATAAAATAATTATACTAAACGGTTTTAGAGATTACGCTGTCCTCTTTTTAAATCTTTTATATTAACTTCGTTTTGTTTCGAGGGTTAGCGGCAAAATTCTCGGATGGCTAATTGATCCACGTTCTGTCATCCTATCGGACTGAAACTTAGCACAGAGACTTGATGCCGATAAAAACACATTAAATCAAATTGTCAGACCCATCGCCATCTCCAGCCCCATCCCCCAATAGTAACTGTTTCCTGTTTTTCAGTGGGAAGATGAATGACATTTGATTTGTTCAATTGGGCGCGTGTGGAGATTAATTGTTGAACTGTGGCCAGGTGCTACGTGCTATGTGCCAGGTGCTACGTGCTATGTGCTATGTATTTGAGACGTTTTGTTTTAAAATATATCTTGTCTATTGGCGGTTACATGGTCTAAGTTTGATTTAAAAAAACATTCCCGTACCAAAAAATAGTTGCTACAATTACATAAATGATAAATCACGTACAATTACATAAATGCAAACCAAAATTCTATAAAGGATTTAGACAAAAAAACTTTGTTTTTAGGTTTTTTTTTTATAAAGCTCAACTTTGTTAAATTCCGCTCATCTAACAATGAAATATTTCTGGGGTATCTTTCATCCAAAGTAGCGATTAGCATATCCTGTTTGCGATTTACAGTTTATCTCTGCAGTCTTTCATTCTGTTTTAATTTTAAAAATGAACAGAACTCTCCTGGACATCTGAATGTGGTCGTTTTGCACTTTATAATGCCCCAGCCCGAATATCATACTTAATTGTCGAGCCCAATAGCATACTTAATGCAAAAGCCGAATATCATACTTCATTGTCGAGCCCAATAGCATACTTAATTGTCGAGCCCAATAGCATACTTAATGCAAAAGCCGAATATCATACATACATAATGCCGAAGCCGAATATCATATTAATTGCTCCAGCCGAACATCATTAAATATTGATGATATATCTATGAGAGTCTATTTGTATTAATCGAAGATCCGTGGAGCTTTATGAAGCGTGTTCACTATTTCACCATAAAGCGATCAATGCTTTCAGCCATCAACACAAATATAACCATTTTTAATCATGAAATAAATTATTTATAATCTACTAAAATTAAACCAAAACCGCTATTGGGGGGGGGGCGGAATGAACTCGTGTGTCTATGAAGTTTTGAGTAGTCGAACGTGTACAAGTGGGGATAAAATAGGTAAACACGATTGCCTTAACGTTTTATTTCAGTTATATTGAAAGTGGTTATGTAAGACGTGTCGTCAATTGTAACGTCAATGTGACTCCTCATAAATAAATTAGGAACATTGTCCGTATGTCGTTTAAATCGATTGCATATTAAACAGTACAGATAATAAAATATCATCTTGCTGTGGCCCTCCTTTGACGTCAGCAAATTACAACAAACGCCACTTCAATGACCAACTTCTTGTTTACCGTTAGTAAATTACAGCAAACAAACAAAAAAACAAACAAAAAGACCACTATGATAATGACTAACTTGTACAGTCTCCCATTGTCCGCTTTGACCAGGTCTCTGTTGAACATCATGGTTAACCCATAGTCGACGACCAGCACGAAATGACAGTCGGTCTCCGCCTCCTTGCACCAGCTTTCTGTCAGGTGGGCCGAGGCGCCGCTAATGATCCAGATGAGTTGTGCAGCCAGGGGCAGTAGACGTGCAACAAACATCGCCATCTTTAGTGTCTCTGTAATCTACGAATAGAAGGGCAAAAAAAAAAAATAATAATATTTTTTAAAAAATCTTATTATATTATTATTGTTATTATTAAGGTGTTTTTATAATAGCGCAGTACCCCAGCCTTGGCTCACACATTAAAATTAGCAATTAGAGGAAATGATACATTTAAAAACAATAGGTAAAAAAGCTTAACCTCACACACCCAAGTAATATCAAGCGTTGTGTATCAGTTAGAGGGGAGTGACAATGAGTCAGTATAGTACAATATGGCGAAACAGAAATAGTGAAACGAATTGAAGTGAAGACCTCAATTTTCAAATTATTACTACGGCCCAAATGTTGGAGTGATGTTCACTTCCATTTACTACATTTAACAGAAAATTGAAATTCTAACTCGATTTTCCCGTGACTACAAAGTAGAAGAAAGAAGAAAAGAATGTACAGTAAAAATGAATGAATCGAACTGTGTGAAACTTACCCAAAAATGGTTATCATATCTTGACTTTGCGACATTGTTTTAGATTTTCTTTACACATAGCTACTATTCATATAGCTACCAAACCGAAACAGCCACACAATAGCATCTCTACCAATAGATAGCCAACATGTTTGATTTATCACTCTGGACATAATCAATAATTTCCCATTTCATCTGTAGGTACGACAAAACAGAATAGATATTATTATTATTTCTTTTTTTATTAATCTCCTATTAGCGACCTGCCGCGGTGAGGCGCCAGATGTCGCACGACACAGTAAAACAACAGGACTTTTCCTTTAAGAATGTCGTCTGTTTTCCCATGGTTCACTTGTACATATTTCTGCCATCAACATTATGGATCACCTGGTATGTGACGTCACAACCGTTCGCCCTACACGTTGGAAGAAATGCCCGCGGTTTGAGAGTCTCAAAGTGTAGGGCATGACCCCCCCCCCGACCCCCGACCCCCGACCCTCGACGCCCACGGGGGTAAGTGATTCTTTTTTTTTTTTTTTTTTTTTTTTTTTTTTTTTTTTTTTTTTAACTTCTTTTTTTTCGCGTTTTTCTTTCTGGCTGGGTGTTTGCAAAATCTTCCGACGGCTAATTGACCCATTTCCCGTCAACCTATCAAGCTGAAACTTGGCTCATAGAGTCGTCACCGATCACACAACATTCTATACAAAATTGTATCGCCTCCCTCCCCCACCCCCACCCCATTGCTCGATATAAACGTGTACAAAAGATTTATACGAAAATCTTTGTGTTTAGGAGTTGTTGAATTATTGTGTACATTTAAATTTTGATGACTGATAAAATCTGACCGTTGATTAGTGATGATAGTAAACGGTTTACTCAATATGTTGACACTAACGGAAATTAGATAGATGTCCTTGATTAGCATGGCAACGTAACACAATCTAACTATCATGGCCATACACTTGTGTGCAGTGTAATGGCATCGTTTTAACAATGATCTTCAACAAAAACTGTTCTCAATCATGCTTAGCCAAATCATTAATTTTACTGATACTCAATATGAAGAAATGACGCTTTAAAATCAATGAGAGAAATTCGACCCACTTTTATGTGCCAAGTTTTACTGATGAGAAATTGAATTGAAATAATCAAAGTCTTATCTCATGACCTCCTTGATCCTGATGATTAAATTCACGTATATAATAATTTATTTCATAGCGTGCTCCTGAAAATTACTCAGAGGACCAGATGGCAAGTTTTGGCTAGTCAGAACTTGCCCGCGGGCCGGTGTCTGTACGCATCTTCTCTAACGCACCTGAAAAGTCTAAATCCGAGCGTATAATTCATTAATGCTTTAACTAAAACTGATGTAAGCACCATGTGAATGATTGCCATGTCCTGTGAGTACCATTGATCCAAAAATAAGCCTGCGTTTTAAGACTGCCCCCCCCCCCTTTTTTCTTCCCAAGTTTTACTTTAACTTTGTTTAAATGTGAGACTCTAGAATGGTAGATTTGTTTTGTGACAGCCAGCAATCGCAGCAATGATGTAACAGCTTAATCAAATGCCAACCCATTAAAAGGCCAGGCAGCAGTAATGCACTACAGCACTACAACACTACAGCACTTCAAGCAGCGAAGTGACTAAAGATCAAACGGCTGTGCTATCGGTACGATCTTTTGTACGTCACGTCCCGACATTTGATAGCCCAACAATTATTGTCTTGGCTTACAACAGTTGTGTGTTCACGACCCGTCGCTTAATTACATACGGTGGTTAGCGGTTGGTGGTTTGTCATTGAAAGGTTTCTGCTTGTTCTGTTGTTCTGTATTTCTCCTTAACATATGTCACCCGGTGGGCTAGTGTGATGGGGAAAAGGTCTTAACTTAAAAGCAATCCAGTTGCAGTCTTATAAGACAATTGTTCGCGTCCAACGTACAAATATTCTACAGAGGTTGTCGACATGATCTGTATAAATTTACATTGCCATTTAATAGTTTAAAGGGGTTTTAATCTCGCCAATAAACACCAAACTAGCTGTGTTAAAATGTTGGAAGACGTTAGAAGATGCCAAGAGATCAGAACGATGATTCTGACTTGACGAAAATCACAATAAGAGCAAATTGAAATACTGATTTTATCTTTTTAAGACGGGCATTTGTTTTTCATAGAGGGACAGAATAGATGGACACGCTCATTGCGGTGAACGTTCTTATACATTCAGACATCATTCTAAGAACATTTCATCAAGTCACAAGGCCACCACACGTGTTTTCGAGTGCACTGAATACACGGGCACCGCGTTACACACCAGTGTGTGATTAAGTCAAATGGAGTCAATCATGATGAGCCGCATGCTAACTGGAGAGATTTAGTTTAGCTTCGGTGGGTGTACACGGGGTGGGGGCTACAGGGGGTGGTGGCTACATGGGGTTGGCTGTACAGGGGGGGGGTGCACGGCGGGTGGGTGTACAGGGGGTNGTTGGTGTAAAGGGGTGGGTGTACAGGGGCTGGGTGTACAGGGGCTGGGTGTACAGGGGGTGGGTGTAAAGGGGGTGGGTGTACAGGGGATTGGGCGTACAGGGTTTGGGTGTTCAGGGGGTGGGGGTACAGGCGGTGGGGTGTACAGGGGGGTTAGGTGTACAAATACGCATTGTATTAGTGACTCGAATATTGTACAATTTACTACCATATTTGTGTCAAGAAAACAGGCGATAGATTGGTTTGTGGTAAACAAGATCAAAGGGAATAAGCTACGCCCAGTGTCTGCTAGAGTTCACAGCACGGGGGAAAATGTCGTAAACACGTCGTCTACATAACAGAGTTTATTAATATTCTTCGGAGAACAATGTAGCTTTATGAAGCGTGTTCACTATTTTACCATAAAGCGATCAATGCTTTAAGTCATAAACATAAATATAACTATTTGTAAAAATGAAATAAATTATAATCTACTCAAATTAAACCAAAGCCGTTTGTCGCTATTTGGGGGGGGGGGGTGAATTCGTGTGTCCCGGGATGTCATTTTTTGGTAGTTCATTTTAGTTAAACTGAAGAAGTAAGTTTACAGACATATAGTCCATTCAATATCTTTTATTTTGATACCTCATTTTGTCTTACAAACCTAACAATAGTATTTTAAATAGTTTTTTAATCCCAACCTCTCGCTTCTGGTGCCCGGGTGCGAATAGTCTCAGCCTTTAGATTATGTTGCAGGGAATTTTTTTTTTTTAGCTCTGTGAAGAAAAAACAAAAAATTCAAGTAGGAATTTATGAGATTTGGAGAGCCACCCCACGACTGCTGGATCATATGCGTACTCTTCTTATAGGAGGCGGAACATAGAGCGGAGTTCCACTGTAACACACGTGTGCTGGGGCCGGGGGTGTATAAAGGTTTAATAATAGAGCCCACAAAACTATGCCTGGTCCCGAATCAGATCAAAATGGTTTAGCGTGTTGTTGTTGTTGTTTTCAAATGTATTGTATGTGGTTGTAATGAATTGATTATGTACTTGATGTCTTAATAAATCATGCCATGACCTTTGTGTTTAACGATGACTGTACATTCGTCCCAGTGATAGGATGATGTTCATAGAATACAGTGACATGTAAAGAAGACATGTTTTGTTTCAGATTTGTTAAACGTTACAATGACTTCAATGTTGTTTATTTAAGTGTTATTTCATTTACGATTTTACTCCGACTATTGTAGATAAGAGAGAGACATTCGTGTGTTTGTTTTTGTTTGAATTTGCTTTTTTGAAGATGGTTAATATTGATGTTACTAACAGTGATGTTACTAATAGTGATGTTACGAATAGTGATGTTACGAATAGTGATGTTACGCCAAAGTATAAGAGCGTTAACTTACCTTAGAATATATTAAATACGATATAAATCTATTCTAAATAAATATGGTTCCAGTAGTTTGGCCGCAGATGAGTCATGCTGTGTGTAACACCATCATATTATCAATCAGTGCTACACACTTCCATACACACAGTTTCCTTCACACATGTCCTGAACACACCACACAATGAGACAGTCTTTTTTTTCTGTCTCAATAACACACGAATCTCGTTCTTATCATGGGAAGCGTTTTCTTACACTCGAACAGCTGGTCCTTAGACGGCACTTGAACTTTCCCCAAGTTAACCGCAGAGAAATTTCTCCATTCAGAATTAACTACAGAGAAAAATCCTCAAGTTAACCACAGAAAACTTTAACATAGTTAACATAGAACTTTCTCCAATTAATGTTAACCACAAAGAACTTACAACATGTTAACCACGGGATGCTTTCTCCCTATCTACTATAGAGAACTTTCTCCATGTTAACCAAGGAGAACATGTAACATGTTAACCAAAGTTAACTAACACAATGTTAACCACAGTGAACATTCAATATGTTAACCATAGATAACTTCATACACCGTGTTAACTTCAGTGAACACTCAATATGTTAACCATAGATAAATTACACCATGTAAACTTCAGTGAACATTCAATATGTTAACCATAGATAAATTACAGTATGTTAACCACAGTGAACATTCAACATGTTAACCACAGAGAACTTACACCATGTTAACCACAAAGAACTTACACCATGTTAACCACAAAGAACTTACACCATGTTAACCACAAAGAACTTACACCATGTTAACCACGGAGAACTTACACCATGTTAACCACAAAGAACTTACATCATGTCAACCACAAAGAACTTACACCATGTTAACCACAGAGAACTTACACCATGTTGACCACAAAGAACTTACACCATGTTAACCACAAAGAACTTACACCATGTTAACCACAGTGAACATACAACACCTTAGCCATTGAAGGCGCTTACATAAGCTTTCAGACTTCACCAATTAATCTCACCTTGAACTTAAATCACCAACTAAACCAGAAGAGAATGAAGAGAATGTCAGTTGGCAAAATTGCACACAAACATTCCGTCTACCCTACCCAGCTAGCTAACCGTGTATGCGAGATATGTGTGTTGTATTTTCGGTAACTCTATGTCTAAAATTAACTTAGCAGACGTGACCATTTGCAGTTGTAACGTTTCATTTTAAAACATTTTTGGGGCTGAATTTTATGTTTCACTTGATGTAGGCGGCGCGTAAAAGATCGGTGGTTCTCCAAGTGAGCGAGGGGTCCTGTGAGATATGTTCAGTCTATGGGGGTGGTGGGGAAGGGGGGCGCTGTGATGGCTGAGTTTGGCGTTGGTTGGAATTTTTTTTTTAAAGTCAAAATGATATATTTAAAACATAATTGTTTATAATAAAATTGTTATCCCTTTTGAGTTGAAGTTTTGCAACGTCATGAATAGAGGATAAACTCTTTTTTCCAGGATTTAAAATGCCCTTATTGTCTAACTTTTAAAAATAATTAGAAGCGACAATTAACCAATTTGTGTCGATGTGCTCCACCAGGAAGAATAAAATATGTATATGGCATGGGGTGTCGGTTGGTTCGTTCCGGTTTGATCCATTCATTAATTGTGCTTTTTTTTTTTTTTTAAAGACTTGGCCTGTGGTGGATTTTGATGCAAACAAAATAGAGAAGTTGAAACTTGGCCTAGAAACTCTCTGGCTACGTCATTCAGTTATAGTGTTAAAGCGGGTGTTTTCAGGAAGGTGATATAATGAAACATGACGTTCATGATCTGCTGTGAGCTATGTATACACTTTTGTAAAACACACTGTCAAAAAGGGTGACACTTTCTTTGAGTTAAAGGGGTGTAATTTTTAGGGTTAGTTCCGATCGGGTGGGCCAACATTTGTGCCGCTCCATTTAAAGAAATAAAACTGCAATTCGCCCAAAATGGCGCCCCCTCATATAAAGATAAAAGTGCCGCCCGGGGCCCCCTCCCCCACACACACACCCTTTGCTGCGCCAATGTTTGATTCTCATTGGAAGTTATACAGTTGTAAACTCCATTCTCTGTCCAGCTTTTAAGTTAACTTCTTTGCTTGTTTATTAAGCTAAATGATCTGGGGTTGTTATTTTTTTGTGTGGTTTCAGATCCAATTCTAGGAATTTATAATCAATTGCTTATGTTTTTAAAAAGTCGATTATTAATAAATAAAGCTGTAAAATGTGTGCTCCGAAGACAACAGCGATAAAAGTCTGCTAAAAAAAACTGGAACTGAACACGAAAGAAATTATAAGAGAAATCTTCTCGGCACTCTTATGCTGTTCCCAAATGTCAAAAATAATAATACTTCTCGTTAGAAAGTTCCAGGCGGAAACGATAATTGGTGACCTGATTGTGTACGTTTACGATTCTGAATAAATGGAGTTGTCTTGCTTGTAATAATATAAAATAAACAATAAGATGGCCGGCAGACCACAAGCGCCGGCTCGTATAATGGTTTGTCAGGAACCTTTCTGTAATTTTACGACACGACGCTCAAGGCGTAACATGACAGCATTTATGACCGCTTGCTTCTACATTGGTTAGAGTGGCTTGCTGAACACTGTCTCATAACTGTCAGCGTCCCTCGTCTTGAGTCAGACCTGCTGAGTCACTTGATGGTTACCCATGGAAAGGCCGTCCGTGCAAGACGACATGCATTCAATATATTCACAGGACATTTAAATTGTTTTTTTTTTCAAAAGTGGAAAACGCCATGGCCTGTTTCCAAGCTACTGGTGTGCTGTGCTAACAGTTGTGGTGCTTTAGCCACAAATAACAAGTTTTCCGACAATGCTTGAAGTTTCTGAATGACAATCATAACATTTAATCATGTACTTACTGTACTTGGTTAAACATTATTGAAACGGTCAAAGCAACGGCCCATTCGATGCGTTTTACTGGTGTTTTGAAGTTGTTACCGGTTTTCGGTGGAATGCCACCTACTCTGTTACACCGACCAATTTTAGACAAACGCACTAGACGCCGAAATACGTTTAACACAAACGTTGATTTCAAATAGTGAAATCTGACATTCTTCCATTACAATCAATAAGTTTAATTCCTTATATAATGCTGAGGTGGTTCACGTATGGAGAAAGGAACACTTCAGCTTAAAATGTCTTTACTGAAGTCAAAGTTTTTCACATTTAACCGAGATATTTAGGTACAGAAAACAATTTCAGATTGGCATTCGGTCTTGTGAGACTTGTGTAAAGTTATTTAAGTAGATTCGTGTTCTCTTCCAACATTGCTGTTGTTGAAACCTTATTTTACTTTGGTTTTTCAATGTCAACTGTGTTCCGTGGCTTAGACATAGGCAACAGATTTCTGAATTTTAAATAAAATCGTAAATTCACAAAAATCCTACTTTAAGAAGCTGTTGCATTTTGGGGACAAGTTAATCCGTTCATTATTGAATTCATTAAATTAAATTTTTAATGTTTATTAGGATTAAATCTTCAATTACGTTTAATTAATCTTCTACCTTTTATTGCTTAGTTATCTTTGAAATGTTTGTTAAGTACTATTCTTCAAAAGGCTTTAAAAGATGTGAGAAAGGGGGTAGTTGCAGGGTCGTCATTTGAGTAGGGCAGGGTGGGGTATTTGCGCCTTCCCCCGAATTCGCAGGTTTTATTTAAATTGTTATGTACTGTGGCACCCCCAGTAATAAACAGCTTAACAAGCCGACCAAGTTTTCGTTTTGCGCCCCCACCCCTGAAAAAAAAACATAAAATGATGCCCCTGGAATGTTGTTTGTGCTCCGGGGGTTTACTTCATGAAAAAAAAAGTTTGTGGTGGTGGCCATAAAACTTGTTTGAGAGTCACTGTGTCAGATTGACAGGGAGGGGCATATATCAGACTGATAACGAGATTGTATATGTTGAACTGATAGGTGACTAGGTCCGCATTACAAGGTTGTTTTCTTTAAAGGTGTGTGGTGGTTGTGGGGGAGGGGGTGGTTGTGGGGGAGGGGGTGGAGGCGCAATTTAAACTTTTCAACCTCCTCCCACATTGGAAAATAAACATACTTAAAAATTAAGTAGCAGACGTAAACTATAAACACCGCGTCCTATCAGGCTTAGGTCAAATCAACAGTCACTCGGACTTCTCCATAAATATGTCTGATAGAGGTTTACATCGAGATATAGTTAGTTCAAATCTGGGATGGAACTAAAACGTATGACATGGAAGTATGGACGCGTCTAGTCTTGACACACAACAAATGTGTTGCATTCCAACCTGAATTGAAATTTGTGCACACGCTCTTCAGTTAATGGGTGCACTTTAGTAACAACAACTTTTTTCGCTGAATTGTGTTGTAAATGGAAAAAACAACGTTTGTTTTTGTAAATATTCTCAATTCCAACCCCCCCCCCCCACACACACACACCTCCAACTCTTTATTTATTATTATTATATTTTTTGTTTTACTTATTTTAAAAGACTTTGTTCACCAGTTAAATTAGGCGTAATGAGCGAATCAGTAGCGCCGTCACTGATTGTGGCGCCATCACTGTATGTGGCGCCGTCACTGTATGTGGCGATGTCACTGTATGTGGTGATGTCACAGTACGTGGCGCTGTCACTGTGTGTGGCGCGGGGTGTCATTAGATAATGATTTTAAATTTTAGTAATAATAAATTTTTTAGAACTAATAAAACACACACATTTTGTAAAGCCCGCTTTTATATATATTTCTAGCTGCTGACTTCATGAAAAAATAACTAACAACCTTTAAATCCCTCCCCCCAGCACACACAGAGACTAACATGACAAGACTGATCCCCTTTGTACTTCACACCAGCAGTGGGACACCCATGCCTGTCTATAACAACCATTAGAATTGGATATCCTTGTTTTTTTTTGTTCATACAAATCAATAGCTCGTTGGTAGTAAGCAAGTGCTTTGTTATGACTGTGTCGCATGTGTTCTTATATGTGTGGCCATTCTCTGAGTAAGACTGCACGTGTGTCAAGTTAACAATGTGTGCAAAGTTGTCCAACGAATGGCTAGATAACCAGCGAGTGCCAAGTTAACCAACGTGTTCCAAGTTAACCAACGTGTACCAAGTTAACCAACGTGTACCAAGTTAACCAGTTAACCAACGTGTACCAAGTTAACCAACGAGTACCAAGTTAACAAACGTGTACCAGGTTAACCAGCGTGTACCAAGTTAACCAACGTGTTCCAAGTTAACCAACGTGTTGCAAGTTAGCCAACGTGTTCCAAGTTAACAAAGGTGTTCCAAGTTAACCAACGTGTTCCAAGTTAACCAACGTGTTCTAAGTTAGCCAGCGTGTTCCAAGTTAATCAACGTGTGCCAAGTTAACCAACGTGTTCCAAGTTAACCAGCGTGTATTAAGTTAACCAACGTGTTCCAAGTTAACCAACGTGTTCCAAGTTAACCAACGTGTTCCAAGTTAACCAGTGGGTTGCAAGTTAACCAACGTGTTCCAAGTTAACTAACGTGTTCCAAGTTAACCAGCGGGTTGCAAGTTAACCAACGTGTTCCAAGTTAACCAACGTGTTCCAAGTTAACCAATGTTTCCAAGTTAACCAACGTGTACCAAGTTAACCAGCGTGTATTAAGTTAACCAACGTGTACCAAGTTAACCAGCGGGTTGCAAGTTAACCTACATGTGTACCAAGTTAACCAACGTGTTCCAAGTTAACCAACGTGTACCAAGTTAACCAGCGTGTATTAAGTTAACCAACGTGTACCAAGTTAACCAGCGGGTTGCAAGTTAACCTACCTGTGTACCAAGTTAACCAACGTGTTCCAAGTTAACCAACGTGTTTCAAGTTAACCAACGTGTACCAAGTTAAACAATGAGTACCAAGTTAACCAGCGGGTTGCAAGTTAACCAACGTGTTCCAAGTTAACCAACGTGTTCCAAGTTAACCAACGTTTCCAAGTTAACCAACGTGTATTAAGTTAAACAACGTGTACCAAGTTAACCAGCGGGTTGCAAGTTAACCTACCTGTATACCAAGTTAACCAACGTGTTCCAAGTTAACCAACGTGTTCCAAGTTAACCAACGTGTACCAAGTTAACCAATGAGTACCAAGTTAACCAACGTGTACCAAGTTAACCAACGTGTTGCAAGTTAGCGAACGTGTTCCAAGTTAACAAAGGTGTTCCAAGTTAACCAACGTGTTTCAAGTTAACCAACGTGTACCAAGTTAACCAGCGGGTTGCAAGTTAACCTACCTGTGTACCAAGTTAACCAACGTGTTCCAAGTTAACCAACGTGTTTCAAGTTAACCAACGTGTACCAAGTTAAACAATGAGTACCAAGTTAACCAGCGGGTTGCAAGTTAACCAACGTGTTCCAAGTTAACCAACGTGTTCCAAGTTAACCAACGTTTCCAAGTTAACCAACGTGTATTAAGTTAAACAACGTGTACCAAGTTAACCAGCGGGTTGCAAGTTAACCTACCTGTATACCAAGTTAACCAACGTGTTCCAAGTTAACCAACGTGTTCCAAGTTAACCAACGTGTACCAAGTTAACCAATGAGTACCAAGTTAACCAACGTGTACCAAGTTAACCAACGTGTTGCAAGTTAGCGAACGTGTTCCAAGTTAACAAAGGTGTTCCAAGTTAACCAACGTGTTTCAAGTTAACCAACATGTTCTAAGTTAACCAACGTGTTCCAAGTTAACCAACGTGTTCCAAGTTAACCGACATGTTCCAAGTTAGCCAGCGTGTACCAAGTTAACCAACGTGTTCCAAGTTAACCAACGTGTGCCAAGTTAATACATAATACAACATAATACCTTAGGTTGTAAAAGTGTAACACTAGTTCGTGAAGTCTAGAATCTAGATTGATCAGTCATTACGTGTAGCACTAGATGGAAGGGACTTCAATTGTAGCACTAGATGGATGGGTTAGCAAATGTCAGAAAACGTAGTATAAAATTGAAGATTCAGCTCATGTAGCACTATATTTATGGGTTAGCAAACGTAACACAAGATGGAAGAGTCTGACTATGTTGCACTAGATGGAAGGGTATACAAATGTAGGAATAGATGAACCAGTCAGCCTATGTAGCACTAGATCGAAGGGTAAGCAATTACAGCACGAGATTGGAATGGCCAGAAAATGTAGCACTAGATGGAAGGTTCATCAAACTTATTTGATTTATAAGATCCTTTTATGACAAGCATTAAACTCGTATGATAAACCATATATCTAACTAGCCAAAAATCTCATAATGCGTTCTAAGCAAACCCCTAGTCATAAACACTTCACAATAACAACGATTAAAATTAAAATTTGAATTTTCTTTTTTCTCCAATAAAAGGTCTGATTTATTTATAATAAATATTGTAAACTTGGAATTTTTGGCCCATCCAATTAATAAAAGAACACCCAAGACTGTAAGACCCTAGTTACCCCAAAGCACCTTTTAGCACGCTCCTGAACTATGTGACAATTCTATTGTAGGCCTACTATTTTTTGAAACGACAAAGAATCAAACTTTATTTCAAATACGTGCATAAACACAAAAGCATGCATCAAACAAAAGCACACTGAAAACCTTCTTTCAAATAGATGTTTGAAATCTCACCATTCTGAATATGTGCTTATTAAAAATGTGTACACCAATAATCAAGTTAGGTTATTATGAAATTTGACATGGTCATTCTTCCTGACTTATACATGTTTCCCGGAAAGTTTGATTATAACCACTGATCACAAAAGCTGTAATCTAAAAATCGTCAAATGTAGAGGTTAAAGAGCTAAAAAAAAATATTATTTTCAACGGCAACGAGGGATGTTCAAGTTAAGTTAACATCTCTCGCTGCCATTGAAAATAATATAATTAGGGGTTATAATCAAACTCTCCAAGAACCATCTATAAGTCAGGAGGAATGACCATGTCAAATTTGGTTGCGATCCATTGTTTGCTTTTCTTGTAATGGATCGATCCATCTACAAACAAACACACATACACAGTCACACTGAGCGTTATATGGTAGATTAAATATCCAAAAATTTTTCAAAATTATTAAAAACAACAAAATTTATTTGAACTGCATGAGAACAATTAGATCCATTGAAAAATTTTCATTTTATGAAAGTTCATCACTGGGAAAAAAAAAGGAACCTTTTGAGTTGAAAGGAGATACTGAAATGTTCCCATATCATAATCTTTCAAGTTAGTGGTCTCCTAATAGTTTAGGTTGTGCCTACCAAAATATTGTGAAGAGGTCATATTAAAATTTTCAAGTCAAGTTTTTATAATTTTGGTGCACCCCACACTCCCTGAACCTCCTATTATTCTCAAGAGAAAACATAAAAAGTACATTTAAAAACTACAATAATATCACAGTCAAAGTGTTCCTGTACAAAAAAATCACATGAAGTAGATAAAATACTTGTTTTATCTTTCTCATGGCCTTGATGATAATTTCTGAACAGTTATTTTGATAGAACTTCTTCAAATAATGCTCACACGGGATGTCGTCACTCACTTACTTTTTAATCATAACAAAAGTTATTGATTCATTTTCTAATACATTATTTGTATAAGTTATACAATGATTTTTGGGCCCTAAGCACAATGTACAAATGAAATTTCCTTTGGGTGTCAATCTCTGGCTCACATCTCCCAAAAAACTCACGGATGTGGTGGATGATTAAGATAATGATGCTAGATTTACTCTATCAAAAATTCTTTAAAAATTTTGTTTGAATCTTTAGTTACTTAATAGATCAAAATTTTGAGTTGTGTCCTAAAGATACAATGTACAATTAGGAATCAGATTCACATACGACATGATGGAAAGCTAAAAGTAAGTTTATGAATCAGGTCAAAATGTATTTCATGGAAATGCTGGTTAAATAAACTTTGAAAGGTTGAGTGATTTATAAGCGAGATTATTCATCTAATTATTCCTTTATTCAGTCAGCAGTCCATTCAGGGAAGGGAAGACACACAAATATTTCAATGGCGGGGATACGTTAAGTAAAACAATCTGGCAAGTGGTGGACTTCACATTAGTTTACTTTTTCTTCTTTTTCCCTTTCTTCCCTTTTTTGCCTTTCTTTCCTCCTTTCTTTCCGCCTTTCTTTCCTTTTTTGTCCTTGCCCCCACTTGCATCCTCTTCATCAGCTTGAGCTGCCTTTGCTCGTTTCTTGCCCATGGGAGTCTTGCTATACCAGCTCTGAAAGATTCAAATGGTGATTTGTTGAAATCATGTTAATGAGTTTGCACAATCTTAACTATAAAAGAGAACTTTTATGTATCTGTGAATCTGAGTCACAAAAACTCAGGAATTGAACATTTTAGAAATAAGAAATTTCTATGGAAAACTCTTCTGTAATAACATTATTTGGAGGAAAACTTAGTCTTTTAAACTCAAAACCTGTTCCACAATTTACATGGTGGATCTAAATATAAATGAACACAAGTCTTGATAATGTGTGCATTATTAAACAAAATATGTATGTTCATACTATGCCACCACACATAATGCTGTGCAACATGTGCTGTTCAATGTGAATAATAATTGTTTAGATATTTAACATCTTTCAAATACTGATCATTTATGGGGACATTACGTTGCTAATAAAAAAAAATGATGAATTAATGTGATGATCATTCCTTTGAACCAACTCATGGTAACGAAACCTGAGATAGCAGGGTTTGAAATGCAACAATTTACGTAGAGCAAATGAATGTTGATTTAACAGGCTGCAGTGTTGAATAGAATTTTTATTTTATTACAATAAAATTAAACAACCCCTAAAGACAAAGTTTTCCATATAAATCCTTCATTATTTTATATGAATTTTGTATTATTTCATATCACGAGTTTATGCACTAAGTTTCAGCTCAATGGGTTGATAGGAAGTGGGTCAATTAGCTGTCTGAAAATTTTGCCAGCCAGAAACATAAGAACAAAAGCAAAATTAATATAAAGGATTTAAAAAAGAAAAAAAAAATGAGCCTTTTGAAAGTTCTTTTTTACATGTGCCTGGATATTTAACATGCATTACAGATATTAGGTAGCATCATTTTTATAAAGGATCATCGGGAAGATTAGATTTAATTCCACCAAATTTTCTTGCCTTAAATGCTTCCTCTTCCTCTTTATATATAGGGTCCAACCGAGCCAGTGGTGCCAAAAACTCAATGGCTTGCAGGGGTCTCTTTGATAACTGTTGTATTCTTCTGTCAGTCAACACCTGGGGAGAATGTTTTGACAGACAGGCATGAGCAAACTCATCGGACATGTTAGAATCAACATCCTTACCAACCTTGGCATCTCGTGATAAAAAAAATATCAAACTTCATTCAACTTGCTAATCTGGACATTCAATTTTACCTGTTGAATGGCTGTGACCATATGACCAGCAGTGTAACCATCAGTGACCTTTGACAGTGAACTGACATCAAGGGTATTGGACAGTTGACCACCAAATTTCAAAATCAATTTTCTCCACAGCACTGTTGCAAACAAAAAAAAAAAATAAAATTAATTAAAAAAACTTATGAAATATTTAAATGATAATAAAAACAAATTTTTCTTCTGTATTCTGGAGAATTTACGGGTTAAACTGATCACTTGACATGGAGAGAGATCCAGTCTTAAAATGTTGCACACATAGGTGGAAAAAGGCTCAGTAATATTAGAGAGAAATTGGTTGCATATCAATTTCTTTCATTTGTCTTTGAGTGTGTATTTTCTAGTTATTTGTTAAGCTTGATTCCAACCCAAGGGATACACCATGGATATATAATTCTGAAATAAATGGTACTGATCCTTATTTGCATATGTTATGTTCTGTTATTGCTGAAATATTGATAATAGTGAGTTGTTTGCATAATCCTAGGAATATTTAAAAGTTCCAAATACAAAACTGCTCACAGTGTCTGGAAGCATAATCAGGTCTGGGTATTAAAATGACCCTTTGGTAACATCCAATGAGAGGTTTCATGTCTGCGTCAAATGGACACCTGGTGCTCCCTACTATTAGAATTCTGTCATCTGACTTAATGGCCTTGAGAGCCTTTGGGAGTTCTTTCTTTAATCGTTTTGGATCTGTCTGAAATTGTTCACAATAATTGTCAATCGACAGATGGTCTCCAAAGAATAAATTTATAAAATTTGTTATTAATTGACAGCCAATGCTTTATAACTGCATGCTAAGAATTAGCAATTTATTTTCAAATTTTAAAATAAATTGTAGGACTACTGTAACTTTAAAAAAAAAAAATATTAATTATTTTTATTTTGTAATTAATCTGAACTTACTGGATCACCTTTTGGAATTTTTTTCTTGAACATTTTCTCACAATCACCAACGTAAAATACTGAAGGCTGTAGAGTTCTTCCAACCTAAATATATTTATATATGTATATTTCAGATTAGGTAGAATGTATTCTTACAGTGAATAAACTTATAAATTATAAGTTAACCAAAGATTTCCCAAACCTTGAAAATTAGATGCATGAGCATCTTAAGGCCATCCTTGCCAGGATACTTTCCAGCCAGGTTAGCAGGTGAAAGGTCAAAAAGGTTGGCACCCAATTCAGTACACATTGCATGCACAAGCATTTTTTTTCCAGTGCCCCTTGGACCAGCCAGCAAAATAGATTTTGTCAAAGGAGCACTTTCATGTACAGCCGGAGAGCCTTAGATAGTGAAGAAAAATAATTTAAATTATTATCATTTGTAGGTCAGGAAGTTTAGAAGACTTCAGATATGAAATCTATTTGAAATACTCAAAAGTAATTGAACATTGAAAATAAAACAGAAATATTGTCAAAGACAAAAGTAAAAGCCATTTACAAGAGTAAATATCTTCATTAGCATATTTATATGTCAAAGAAGTTCGATGGAACTGTTATTCTGTTAACCAGTAAACAAAATATAGAAAATTTCAATGCAATGAAAATTTATAGGGCGATCATTTAATGTTCAATGAAAATGACAAATAGAATTTTAAAATGGCAACCCAATTACCTAGGGGAAGGATTCCAAACTCGGTGAGAAGCCGTCTGACATCGGACAGTGAAGGCATGGGTTCAACATTGGCCTGCCTCAGTGTTGTGCCCAAGTAACTGTATTCACCTTCATAATCACTCAGCTTGACCTGGGGGCATCTGACAATGATGCCTTGTGTCACCAGTTCTTCATAAAGGTCTTCTATGGTTCTGGTAGTTAAACAAATTGCATCAGCATTCACAATACAAAATCAATCCTTTTAAAACAGTGGTACTCTCTAATAAAATGAAGGACTGCGTTCCGTGTGAAGAAAATAGTGGAACAAGGTAAGTGGAAGCTTGAGATATAAGGACAGGACAATAAAAAGACGACATTTCAGCTAAGAGCCTTCTTCAGCAAACAGGACCAAAAAAAAAGAAGCAATAAGAAAATAAATAAAGAAATTAGTTTAAAAACTTGAGATTTGGAGTTCGCCTTGAATGCTATGCTATTGCCAAAAGTGAGATTTTCCAAAATAAAACTATTGGTATTCTCTAACAGTATCTGGAGTAAGACTACAAATTACTTGAGCCTAGTTACTCACAATGAAATTATGTAAAATGTTTACAATAAAGAGGGGACTGCTTTAACCCACGAACTGTGGCATGCATTATTCTGTTGTGGGGAGCTTTTCAGAGCATTTTGGGTGAGATTTGAAATTGCATTAAATGACATAGAAATATTGATACAATACCCCAATAAGTACATATTTTTAGAAAGGTAAATAGATGGGGATAAAGTTGACCATATTGCCCACCCAGTAAAAAATTTTTGCTCAGTGTCCTTGACCTTGGAATTCTCAAGGAGAAAAAAAATTGACAAAATGTCTTGCTTTCAAGTGCTCATAACATCATTAATTTTTATAGATACACTTAAAACATAAATCTAAATGTTGTAGCCAATTCATTTATCTTTCTGAAAATGTATAGTTTGCTAAGGTTTTGATTGCAATTAAACATCTGAAAGCAATTTTAGTCATTTTAGGTCATTTATTTAAGAAACTGGGGACCACTGCTAAAACCAAGTACAAAATACAAAATCTCAGGCAAAATAGTAATTATTGACTAGTAAACATTTAAAAAGGAACTGTAAAACAGATTTGGTTTGTTTAACTATAAAATTTATTAGTTCTGAACTATAATCTGTAGATTCTGTGACTAAAATTCAGTCAGTCCTTCCCCAACCTCCGGGCCAGGCTCGAAGTCTAACAGTAGCCTCAGTAGGCCTACTTCAGTATCACTAAAACTAGTAAAAAATTAACGAAAAGAATAATCTCAACTGATATCGTCATGAGGAATGTTAAAATCAACATCAGTATCACTTAAAACCCCTCCTGAAAAGCTTTCAAACATCTTTCTATTAGTTCTTGCACTGGAGGCCCAGCCATAGCGTCATCCATTTTAGCTTTAAAAAAAACAGCGAAATAAAACTCCGATTAAAAAGTATTTATTTTCCCATTACCACGAAACAACTTGAACCGGAAGATGATTTAATTATTAATAAAAGGAAGTGGCTATAATTCCAGCCGCCACAGTACAGAACAAGAATGTCGGCTGATTTTTAATTCCGGCCGCCACAGTACAAAGCGAGAATGTCGGCCGATTTTTTCGACCAACCACAGTTCGTGGGTTAAGAATGGTTGAAAAGTCTTCCTGAGTCGCCTGCATCCAGATTTATATTATAGAATATTTCTTTAGAACATAAAATAAATGTATAAACTTTACCTTAAGGGATGTGTAGTTTTTTGTTGCTGTTTATTTGGATTTTAAAACAAAATTGTATTTCTTTTCCTGAAATTGATTTACAGTGAATGCTCAAGATGTCAAAGAAACACATTTTGTGAGCAAGACTAGTGGGCTGAAGTGAATTATTTTAGGCATCTAGAAATGGGATGGGAATCTAATGCATTTTATTATTTCTAGTGTCCAAATTATATTATTGTTAAACATGAGTAGAAAAATATGATTAAAAATAGAAAAAAGATGATTCATTAATAATGCATCTGAAAAGTTAAATATTTACATAAGTTTTTAAAATTTTTTATTAATATCACCTGTCAGGTGTCAAATCTTTTTCTTTCTTTCCTTTCTTTCCCTTTTTCCCTTTTTTTCCTTTCTTGCCGGACTTTTTTCCTTTTTTCTTTTTCTTCTTTTTACCAGATTTTTTGCCTTTTTTACCTTTTTTATCTCTGTCAACAGCCTGCAGAAAGGAATTAAGATTTGAGTCGATATTATACATTTTATTTAACATCTAAATGAAATTAAATTATTTTTATAAATTCTAAAATTCAAAGAAGTGAAAATATTAAATTAGTTAAAAATGTATATAGAAAAGAAAAAAAGAAAGAAAAAGGTCTCATAATTTTTGTATTTAGAAGCTGCTTATAAAGTATTTGGCCTTTAAATCTATTAAAAGCATATTAGCACATGGAGTAATCTAAATAAGTCATTAAGGATATACATTTATGAAATGACAGAGGTTGGTTTTTTTTTGTGTTTTTTTAAATATTGGTTTTTCTTACAGCTTTTAAGTTAGCAAGCTCTGCTCTCATTAGTTCATCGACTTGAGTACGAATCTCGGACTCGACTTCCTTCCTTTTCTCCTCTTTGATCAGTTCAGAATCATGTTTCTGAGCAAAATTGTCACTCTCATCTCTGCCAACCCAAACACCTAGATTAAAATAAGGTCATGTTGAAACATGGGGAGGCAAACCATACAAAAATTTACTTTTTATCATCGCTGTCTCAGAAAATTACTTTCCCCTGAAAGCCTTCTGTACTTAAAAAAAGAAGATAAAAACCTTTAGAACATTAAAAAGAGATTGGAAGAGTGCCCGGAATTAGAAATGGCAAAAGAAAGATAAGATGGGATTTTAATTTAAAACTGTAAACAATTTTACTAATTATAATAATTTTTTTGTAAAGTTGTAATAAAACTAATACGTATATATTTAATATTTCAGTGAAGATGGACAGAGCTTACAAAAATAAAGTTACACTAAATTCAAGTAAAAAAACAGCTTAAAATTTTGCTTAACAACAACATTTTTTTATAAAATTATTAATGAAATGATTTTATGAAAATGTTTAAATAAATAGCTTAAATAATGTCCAAGGACTCATAAATAATAGTTTTAAAATCATTCTCTGAGAGACTGGACATGCCTATTATTAATGGCAGACCCAAGAGAGTATTGGAACCAGTGAACATTAAACTTCATTACCTCTAACAAACCTCATTACCTCTGTATGTGTCAGTTGCTTCATTTACAGCAGGAACAAAACTTGAAGGTGCCATTTTCCAGCCTTCTTCTTCTTCCTAAAAATGGTTATAGATGAAATACTTTAAATTGCAAATTCTAAGGGAAGATAGTTTTTTTTAATTTTTAGAGAAGACTATTTAAAATAATTCTAAGTAATACCAATTACAAGTTTATCTTTTACATTATTTAAATATATTTATTATATCAAGCTATTTTATACATTGATTTATCATAATAGCACAATCTGAGGAAATTATAATTTTTTATTTTAAAATTTCAGTTCAGCACTGCAACCTACCTCATCATCTCCTTTCTTTCCCTTCTTGCCTTTTTTCCCTTTCTTTCCTTTCTTGCCCTTTTTTCCTTTTTTACCTTTCTTTCCTTTTTTACCTTTCTTTCCTTTTTTACCCTTTCCCTTGTTTTCCTCCTACCAAATAGTAGTAATTAAATTACATTAATATTAATTGTATACTTAATTAAAACAAATGTTGAAGTATGTATAAAATTATTGTTGCCACTTAAATAGTTTTTTATAGTTTTTTTTTAATTGATAGGCATCTCCAATTTCAAAATTCCAGTATAAAATGTATTTTTGCAATCTGAATCAAGCTAAAATAATTAATAATGATGTTTAATTCAACATAAGGTTAAAACATATTTTCAGTCTGATTGTACTCAGTCTGTGTATCAAAATTTTTGTATTAAATAACTAGAAAGAGCCTGCCAAACAATGGTGGTAGCAATCCATAAGTTCCCATCTAAGACACATTCAAATAACGCACTCCATAAGAATCCCCATTAGTGATAACCTTTTAGAATTTTATTATATTAAACCTATTTCTAGTGAGTACAAATAATATTTACATATTACAGAATTTATATATTGATTATATTGGCAATTCGGTCTGAGCCTAATTATTTAGCTAGAATTAAATTGATATGATTTCCATAAAAAACAATCACACTATTAATGTTTTTAATGTTTTTAAGAATCCCATTTAGAAATAGATTTTGTATGATAGGTACACTTTTTTGGAAGTTTTCTTTGTGTGCCGATTTAACAGAGCATTACAGCCAGACACACATACAATATCATTTTAGATAATGAGAATATCAATAACAAATAGTTAAAAAGTTTAAAAAGTTGTCGAATAACTTTAGCTAATCTTTGATAATTTCAAAGAATTTTATTAAGTTAACATCCTGGGGTAAGTCCCATTACACAGTGTCAACATTGGAGTTGTATGAAGGATGCCCGCAAAAAAAAAAATTAATTTCAAAAGTTAACTGTGATTTTTATGTCACAATCAGGAATCATACACAACCGAAAAAAATAAATTTTATCAGTGATTTTCTACAAATTATTTTTCATGTTAAAGTAATCAAATGAAAAATAATTTGGTCTGTTGTGCATTCTTCTTTTAAATGTCTCAAGAAATATTTATTATTGCTTCAACATTTCTTTGCAAAGGTTTTATCTTAATTTAAAAAAAAAAAACCAAGACAAATGTTTAAAAAAAATTACTGAATTTAAAAACAAGAACATAATAAAAACAGGAAAGCTTAACAAATAAAGATCAATTATTTTACCATGTTACTGAGCTGGACTAAACTTCTGTGAACATTTTTAAAAGCATGACGTTAAAAAATACAATTGGCATTTAATATCATGTAGTAAAAACACTTGAAATCTCTTCAGGAAAAGACAAACAAGTTTCATTGGATTTATAATATATAAAATTCACTAGATTTAACACAAAATATCAAGCTGGGGTGCTCACCTTTTCTTGCAACTCCTTTTGGAGTTCAGCTGGGTCTTTTTCAATAAATATCATTGCAGAGCCACCATCATCAGCACTGGGATATTCTGGGAACTTTCCAGTGGCATCTCTGTAAACAAAGATTAATTCAACTTAATGTGCATCATTTGAAGAAACACTAATACTTTATTACATATTCACAGAGAAAATTTCTGATTAATTATAACTTTTATCAGTATCATTTTTTAAATAATAATTGTGACCATTATATATTTTAAAAAACAGGCCCTACCCTTTATATCCTTCATTTTTCTTATTTCAGGCATTTTTTTGACAAAAACATCAATTGGATTTATCCTTGTTGTACAATAATAATTTAAATAAAGGGTTTGTGTTTATAATATATTTGTTTCTTAATAAGTTAGATCTAACTTATAATTAAATTTTTTGGAACATTCTGATTCAGTAAACATTCTGGAAATTATTTGAAGGCCTACTAATGCTAAGTAAGTGAAAGTAAACTTGTGAACAAAAAATGAGGGGTGATAGTGTCTCATCAATTTTCCGGTATTAAGCTCCTTACACAAAGCTGTTGGGGGATAGGATGTATCTCAGGATGAAAGGGACAAATGTTATTAAACAACTAAATCAGCTAATTCAAAAATTCAGATTTATTCATTTCAAAAACATACCTGCACTCAATAAACCACTGGCGAATCTGGTCCATCATGTTTTCTTTCAAGTCTGGGCCTTCATTTTTTATAATATTTTCACGAATATTTACAATGGCTTGCTGAAACTCATGCTCGTGTACATCTTGGGTTTTACGTCGCAGCTCTTCTGTCTTTTGAGCAAAAGTCTGGGGCAGATTTTTAGGGTTTGATGGCAAAGGTGGAGGAGCCTGTCACAAAATTCAATTAGAAAAATAGATATGAATAGAAATGTAGTGGTATTTTCTTAGAAGAAAATAAATTAAGTTAATTACTGGTACTTAAATAACTGGGTTAGAGTAAAATTTATTTAGAATTTGTCAAAAATACTGCAGGATTTTTTATTCAGCTTACCATGCCAATAAATATCATTTCCTCTTCACGTTCTTTCTTTGCCCTTCTGCGTTGTGCAAATCCTTTCCACACCTAATTCAAAATTTAAAAGTTATGGTTTTAAGTATTGACATTTAGCTGGAACAGAAAACTGTAATTTAACTTTGTTTAAGCATATTAAGGGAACCATTGGCAGTATGCGGGACAGCACTTTCCTTACTTTTTAATTGTGTTGGAAACACATTATAAATTGTCATCATTTCCACATTGACAGATGCCCAAATTATTAATAATTTCTTTATTTTTAAATCTTTTATATTTTTTAACCATTCCAGTTAGCTTGTGATGGCCCATATCAACACTTTTAGGAGCATTGATCCAAGCGTAACTCTTTTTTAATTTTAGAGTTAAAAAGATGGAAATTGCAATAAATTTGAACTGCTATCTTTGCTAAAATATAAAAATTTTACTGCCTAATTCTCTCATTAAGGAGTAAAGAAAGAGAACCAATTCATAAATAAACATTATAAAATCAGTAAGTTTCAGCTAACCTTTTGAATTCTCATTGCTGCAACATCTGGATCAAGAGTTGGGGCTCCCTGTGTTTGCGCCTGTTTCTCTCTGTCTTCCTGTTGCCTTATTTCCCTCATGAATTTGGCTCGGAGACGCCCCTGCCTAGCTCTCTCATGAATTTGAATAATTTTGATAGCTTGTTCCCATGGCATTCTGATCTCTTCTTTTTCCTAAATTTTTAAAAAAATTATCAGAAATCTCTTTTTATTAAAGTTGAGGTGTTACACTCTTTTTTCGTTCCCTTAAACAATATTTTAGACCAAATATAATTTGACATAAATGATATGAAAAATCAGAAAAAAATCAAAGAAAAATGTATATGGCCTGTTTGGCAGGAAACATATCTTTTTCTGCTAATTAAATTTGCTGTATAACATAAAATATTAATTTCAGACATCACATTGCTTACCCTGTCTTGATCCTGGGGTCCTATTTTAGCCAGTACTTGTCCCAACAATTTTTCCCTTTCTTTCAGGTTCTTGAGCCTTTCATTAACAAAATATTTAGGAATTGGGATCTCTACATCATTCTGAAATCAAACAGCAATGTTGGCTTTTGATGCAAACAGCTAGACATTGCATTCAAATCAATAAAAAAGGGATTATAAAAAATGGAATTTATTTCAATCAGTGGTTCTCAGACTTACAGCATGCTGTGCACTCTAGCTTAAATAAGCTGTTTAAAATAATGTACCATGATTTTGCATATTTTGTAATTCAAAATGGATAACCATATTTCTTTTCATTCCACTCTGTATACCAAGTGGAATAAGGTTATGCACCACTGAAGGTACACGTTACAGTTTAAGAAACCCTGATTTTTTTTTTTTAAATTTCAAATTAGTTATATATATATATAGCAGCTTACGGGTGTGAGTTTTAAGTCAGACAAAACATCATCGAAATAATGATACTCAGAAAATTCAAGATTCATCATCTCATGCTTGAGCTCCACTATCCGCCCCATGACCCCATCAAGACAATGACGCATAACTCGTCTTTTTTGTGGATGAACCAGCTGATCATAGGACTGTTCAAGTCTTCTGAATATTTGTATGTACTTGATGTACATAGTGGCCAGTAGCTGGAATGCTGCAAGACGATCCTAAAATAGTCAAAACATTAATTATTCTTTATTTATTACTGAAAATAGCAATATTTGTTACCAAAACTTGTGCTTAGTACATGGTGCTAGTTTCCAATAACAATCACAAATAATTATTTCAATATTATACATAGTCTCATTTAAATATTTTTCAAATCATTCACTCTCCTTCCCAAACTTTTTGATAATTTGATAATAACAACTAATTCTTACACATTATTAAATTGCTATAAATTAATACTGATTTTAATTATTAATTGCACAATTTAAAAACTTTGGTGCTACTTTATATTGACATGAGGGTCAAAATGCTATATAACCCCTTTTATTTAAATGGACAATGTATTGCTCTAGTTTATTTTTCTTTAAAACAAAACTTAGGAGGCTGAGGAGTTAAATAAAATATAGAAGAAGAAGTAGACTTTCTGATGGCTTATAATCAATGTATTGATTTTTCTGGCTACTAACTAACTAACTTAAGAAAATCAGCGAACACCGAGCCGAAGCTCATATGGTCCTCCCCAACGCACCACCCCGCCAACCAAATCGGCCGTCAACCACTCCCCCAGTGGTCTTTATTCCGATCGGGCCGCGAAGCGGCACGCCAGGGACATTCCGCCCCTAAGACCGCCACGCCCGACCTCCACTCGATTGGCCGCTGAGCGTGGCAGCCCCAGAGAAGAAACACCTGGCCAGCCGGGCTGCTGCTTACGCAGCAACCGGGCCGGACTTTTTAGGGGTTTGGGGTGGATATTTAACGTTTCTAAAGTCCCCCCTTACCACCCCGGGGGGACCGCGTAGTTGTATGTAGGGTTTGTATGGTTATTCTACGGCGCGACTAATTCACACCGTAGATGGGAGAGAGAGAGGTTGCCTGGGAGCAGTACCCTCAAGACTGCATACATAGAATCATCGGTGAAAGGTTGCCACACACCTTCACCTCATATCCATACGGCAACTGTAATCACGTCCCAACCTGTTTCTGCGTTTAGTAAAATAATTTTACTGCACTTGGTGGGAAGCCATGCAATCGTGCTCGCTCTAACGCAGTCTCCGTGCGTTACCTTTGCCTTTCAGCGCGGGTCCCCTACACGGTGATACTGTCCCCCGGGTAACGTTCCAGGGGGTTCGTGGCGAACGCCTCTTTATCAACATGCAAATTATAGGACAGACATGCCGACAAGAGCCCCGGGGGCGCATTCTGGCTACTAAATAAGTCTAGATACAGATAAAGGGACTATGGGGAGACAAGTCAAGAAATACATTTAACACTGCAGATACAAAAACTCAAGGATAACCTTGTTGTTATAGATATTTCATTAATCAAATAACTTGAAAAAATTCAACAAAGGAGATTAAAATATTATTTTACCCTTTCTGGTTTTGGTGGTTCTGGAGGGTTCTCTTGCTGCAGCAAATCGAATAATGCTGATTGAGCCTCCTGCCATTGTTTATTGTAGTAGCTGATAGAATGGAGAAGACAAATTAAAAAAGAGTATCAATATGACTAAATCAACGTCTTACTTTCAACTCATCAGTTGTTCATTTTTTAAATATCCTTTGGCTGAAAAAATTGTTTCCCGTTAAATTAAATAATGACACAATGAAACAAAAAGTAGTAGCCCCTTAACTTTAACCAACATAGTAACATAGACTTAACATCTACTTTGTGGTGCTCTTGGCACTAAATTTTTCAATTTTATTTGTTCAAAGTTTATCAAATTTATTTATGGTAGCATGACTTTGACTTGAATTGATGATTTAGGATTTTATCCTTCTTTTGTATATAAAGGGGGTAATAAGGGGAGAGACTGCAATCAGGTTAGTACAAAATAAAATAGTGTCTATTGCTGCCCACAGATACTACTTTCCAGCTAAGTGCTATTTCTTATTTTTATATCGTTTTTTCTGTTGTTTTGTTCGCTGACGAAGGCTTTCTGTCGACACGTTCGCTGTTTTGTTGCGTGTATTTTTTCAGGTTTAACCCTACTCTGTTTTACTCATTTTATTTTGTGTATATAAACATTTTTTGGGTAAAGTAATAGTAATAAGTAGTAAAAATGATAAAATATAACTTTAATTTAGAATTTCAGCTTTTTTGTTTTGAAGTGGAAGAATGGAAGTTGTTTTAATATTATAACCTGTGACAACTACAGTGCTTAATACATATTTATTTTAAAAACTTGTTACCTAATTAATTGTGATGAATTTGGAATGTTTACAAAATTTCTTTCCATTTTTTTTTAGCTAACAATAACAATCAATTTTTATTTGTATTTTATTTATTATTTAACTCTTTGGGTCCAGGGGTTATTTTCCCTGTTTTACCAAGCTCTTTCAGATATAGACACGAAAATACTGTAAAACTTTAATCTAAATCTTGGGAATAATAAAATATATATAGAATTTTAACTAGGCTACTAGCCTAGGCAACTTGGCCAACTTAGTAGACCTTAGTCTTAGTAGCCTTACTTAGTAGTGACTTACTTTCTACTTAGTTAACTTAGTGAAATAAAATAGGTATTATATAGATCACAGATTATAATTGTGATTAATGCATACCTGTGAGACATTTTCAATAGCTTGAAAATAAGGAAGTATTTTACTTCACAGCGAATAGAATATTATATTTACAACGACTTCGGCGATAGAAGTAAAGCTTGACAGATAGCATCATTTCAAAGCCGCCATTGTATCCAATGGAAACAAAATCACGCGGTTTTGTGAGCCGCGAGATTTTCTCTTTCCTAAACGGAAGTTTACAATATGTAAGAATTACAAACGTTCTTTCGTTACGGTCATTTGTTTGTTTTCCTCTGATGAAATTAGCAATACTGAAGTACTGAAATAGGTATACTCAAATAAGTGATGAATCCTTGTTAGATTTTAAAAAAAAATAAATCGGCTTATTTGACTGAGATTTTGAGTTAGCGGCAAGGATGGGAACCTTAATTGTGGTTGTTTTGATTTTAAATGTTATCTCACAGAAATCCTTGCACGGTATACTTGCACTATTGATGTGACTATTCGCGAGGGACAGGATTTTTACGCTACTTAACTACTTCAAGGGGTTTTTGTTAAGAAATTGATCGGTTATTTAAGAGAGAGCGGCCCGCAGCTGTTTCAGATTGAGCGGCCCACCACGACTTTGTTTTGGATTCACTCCCCTTATTTTTTTTTCTTATTTTTTGTTAAAAGAGTTACATTTTCGGAATTAAAATTCTATTGGTTGATTAATTATACACGTGTGAGATGGCCAGAGCATGTTACAAAAATGCCAGACAGCAGACTTCTCAAACAATTAATGTTGGGTGAACTCTCCATGGGGAAACACTCAGCTAATGAGCAGAAAAAATGGTCATTGATCATTTTTCATGTGAGACACTTGCTATGGATCGTGCAAGCTGGTGTGGCAGACTAGCTGTTGAATCAATATCCTCAGAGAAAAAGCACACCACTTACGCCCAAAGTCCAAAGGAAGTGCACAGCAATGAAAAGTAGAATCTACTCAAATTAAACCCAGTTTGGGACCCAAAACAACTTATGTCCCATGTGCAGGAAAGATTTCCAGGCACAATAAGGACTGGTAGGCCACATACCCTGGAATATAGTCTTGGTCATCCATTTGCACGCAAAGGACCTCAACACCACCACTGCTGTTAATACAGGCCAAAGCCAATGGTTTTGCTAGGTACACCGCCACAATGTACATAGTGCCAGCCCTTTTTTTTTTTAATAATGCAGCCCTTGCCTTATTTTTACAGTTTACAACTTGTATTAAGTTGTACTTTGACGCTTATTTTACCCCAAAAACATGTGACCATCTTTTAGAATTTCTACACTATCTCTATTTTGCCCACAAATTTATTTTTTTTACCAAATTTGCAAAAGACATTCTTAACAGAATATACAACACAGTGTACATCAAAAGTTTTACATAATAAAAAATATTTATTTTGAAACTGATGGGGAAAAAAAAAATGAAAATAAACCAAAAAATTTCTTATTATTTTAATTAGATCTAAATATATGCTTCAATTAAATTTTAAATCAAAGCTAATATTTTTAAAAGGTAAGTAAAAGTACTTTTTTTTTATAACAGTGGGGCAAGATAAATCACTATAAAATTCATAACTAATATTCTATACTATAAATGATAAAAAGATTATCTTGGTGTCATTGTAAAGCTGAAACTGAAAGCCAGTTCTTTCCATTGAAATGCTCTTTGTGTATAACAAGTGTATTTGAAAATTTGAGTTCAGTACTTAATAACGCATGTAATTTTAAACAAATAGAGGCAAAGACAAGGACTAAAATTTCCCCATAAGTAGGGGTGTGCCGGATCCGTTTTTTCCAACCGGATCCGGATCCGGATTTTCTTATGCGAAATCCGCCGGATCCGGATTCCGGTTTCTCCCGGATTCCGGATTTTGGTACTAATGGTAGATACTTCGGTAAGTCAAGGTGGACTACTACTTTTTGTGTATGGGAATTCGCAATCGGCGCCAAAAAATCAGAGTTTTTAATTTTCTGATGTGTGTGTCTATTTATTATTAAATTAGTACTTTCGATATATATTTGAGTTCCGTTCCATTTGGATAAGTGTCTTACGAGAGACGCCATGTTTCTACGCGTTCGCAGCAGGTTATGCAGCTCGCTCAACCTAATTTCGCCATGGGGTTGGCCACGCCCCCCCTTTTTAATGGCGGAAGTTGACGATACTTAGGAAATATTAATTTATTATCACTATTTACATCAAAATAATTGATAACTTGTGTTTCAGAATGCATTTAAAGACATTTGAACTGGAATGTTTTAATTTGAGCTTTAACAACCCGGTAGAATCCATATTATAAATGATCAGAATTTACCGTGTGCAACACGTTGTCATTGGCAACCATTCACAGCCACTTGCATAACTGTATCGTAGTACTACCTCAGAGTTTCATTCATAAGAGTTTGCCGTGTGCAAAAACTATTAAACCATTGGTCAGGGAAAGCTTTAATTAATTATTCATGTGCCAAAGTTGAAAGTTTAAACTAAGTCTAAACAGTATTTTAGTGATAAGGCAGGGAATGCGTTGCCTTATATAAACTATATAGTCATTGCGCATGACGGGATTGGTGGAATGAGATCACAGAATGTGGAGATGCAGTCCATGTTAAAAAATGACAAACCAAGTCGTACTTTAAAAATTCATAACTTTAAAACTACAACAGCTAAAAATATGATTTTGGTGTTATAATTCTTTAAAAAATTACATCTTTTCAACTATGCCATTGGTTTATTTTTACAAAAAGTTTAAATTTTCTTATCAAAGTCCCTACACTATTGGCCACTATTAGCGGTGCTGACTCTAGCCTCTGGTATGTACGGAATATTAAACATTAAACAAGCTCACCGCTCGAAACAATCGATTAATGTATCGTGATCGTGTGAAATTCGGGAAAGAGAATTACTTTTATTTCAGATTATGATCCGGTGAGTCACAAAATCTGGCAAATTCCGAAATCCGGTATATTCCGGATTCCGGATGTTCCGGATACATGTAAATCCGGCGGAACCGGATTTCACCGGATAGTGCAAAATCCGGCGGAACCGGATTCCGGACCGGGGTCCGGCACACCCCTACCCATAAGAGTTTTAAGACTAAACGCGCTTTCTTTTCATTACACTTGGCCAAAAAATACCTCCCAACTATATCTGTAGAGGAAAAAATCCAGCCAAAGATAAACACCCCCACCGTCTTCATGTATCACTGGTTGGACTGAAAATTCCCAACTCTACTTAGTTTAAGTTAACTTTAAATTAGTTTAAATAAGCAGGACTTAATAATCAGCTCCATTTTTCACTACCTCACAATCAGCGCAACAAAAAAACTAGTCTGTGCTCTTGTTCTCTCTTCTCTTGACTATTGTAACTCTCTTCCATCAGGTTCACCAAAATATTTCATATAAAAACTGCAGAAAGTTCAAAACTCAGCGGCTAGGCTAAGTTAGTTCTAAAGGTAAAGAAATGTGATCACGTCACTCCACTACTTCACTCCTTCCATTGGCTCCTTTTACAGGCACGCATTGATTACATGCTGTATATTCTCTGTCACAACTTTTTCTCTGGTTCCTGCCCTCCTTATCTTACTGAACTTCTTTCTTTCTATTCACCCCTTGGAAAGCTTCGTGCCTCTACAAATACATGCATTCTTTCAGTTCCCAGAACACACACTAAAACAGATGGTGAACAATCTTTCCTTTTCTGTGCCCCCAAACAATGTAATTCTCTCCTATTACACATCCACAATTTACAAATCTGCCCTGAAGACCCATCTCTTCAAACTGTACTATACCGACTCATTCTCAAACCCCCCCCCCCCCCCCCCCCCNCCCCCCCCACCGTAACTGATAAACAACGCTCGATACAGCTGAGTGCTGCCCATGGCAAGACAAGTGTAAATAACAACGCTCGATGCTGCAGGGTGCTGTCCATGACGCTGTCCATGGCAAGATAAGGGTAGATGGTACTTGGGTGGGTGAGGTCAAGCTTTTTACCAATTGTCATTTTTAAATGTATAATCAAAATATATGTATACATATATATATATATAAATTATTAAGAATTGTAATATTCATCAATCCAATATTCCATCTTCAACTGAGGAACTAATTTCATAAAGATTTTTTTTTTTTAATTGTTTCAGCAATCCAGAGTGCGATTCTCTTTCCTTCAAAATGACATTGCAATGGATATTAGTTGCCACTGCAATCTATGTTGACATTTTTCTTGTTATTATTATCCTGTGGTCCTACATATCACCTAAAACGTAAGTCTGATATTTTAAAATGATTTATTGCAATAACTAAAGTATCTATTTCAATACAATTTGGTCAGTGATGAAAGGTAAAAGGTCTGAGGAGTGCAAATGCTGGTCCTGAGGTTGTCAAAATACAGCTGTTTATCTCTCCACAATTTTAAAGAAGAACATTTGATGGAAAGATGCAGTGTATCACATTAAAGGTGCCTTTGTGATTTATTAAACAGCTGTCTGTTTGGTGCTTTTCACTAAGGGCTTACATTCCTTTGTTCTTTCTATGTTATTGTAGGTTACTTGTAAATATTGTCTTTTGTCTCTGTGTTTTGAATATGCACATCCGGAAGGCTATGGCATTTGCTTCTTCGTTGACTTTAAATGGCTTGCTGAGACCAGAAATGTGTCATAATTTATTTAAAATTATGCTTGTAACTTTTATAGCTATGGATCATACCCGTAACATATTTCAAAAATTAATTTGTGGTTAAAGTTAATTCATCTTTTTTTTTTATAGATGGCAAAAGTTTTCGGCTCTTGACTTGCTTCATCACTTTCAACATATTCAAATATCTATTTTAACATATTAATTGCTATTTTGCTATTATTGTTTGCTGATGAGTGGATAATAAATGTTAACTTTTTAGCTGTGGCTTATAAAACGGATTGATGATTATTATTTTAACCTAAAACTATGACTGAAAAGCATATACCATAATCAAGCCACTAGTTTGTAAACCACATTAAATTGTCTTGGAATGGTCCCAAAAATTTTTAGAAATTGTTTTCATAACAAACAAGTTTCAAATTATTGCCTTTGAGATGGTAAGATTTTCATTTTAACTGGTGAATAATTACCCTTACACCACAGAAGGTCTGTAGTGTTGCCAGGTTTAACCATGGGGAAGCGAAGGAAATCAGATGCTAGTGGAAATTTAGGTGTTCCTATATCCTTCTGTTTCGAACACTCTTTTACTTATGTTCAGCAGTAATATGACAAT